CCGTTTGCATGCTGCTCTGTCTCTCTCCCACTTCTCAACTTCTCATTGAACTCTGAAGGAGGGCAAATCCAAGAAAGGGCATGCGTATTCCATGTTTTCATTTGCCCTCATGTATCCCCGAATAGTGAAACAATCCCTCTTTTCATGCCCGGCCTTTCATTCAGTGGGTGGCGAGAGCACCACTATGATTGAAGATGAGGGAACTGGATGATTTTTTTTTCCAAGGTGAGCACCTCATGGGAGATGACTGCTCGCTGCCATTAGTTTAAGTGCAGGAGTGTCAGTTAACCCGACACTGGCACCGGGAATACTTAATGCCAGATGGAGGGAGCTGTCCTTGAAGTCCTAACAAGCAGGCGCAGAGAAACAAGCGTTTATTCAGTGTGAGAGAACATAGAAAAAGTTGAGAACTTAGCAAGGTCACCACAAAGTGTATGTTGAATCCCACATAGGAAAGGGAGGGATAAAGGAGATTGAAGGGGCTGGGGAGGGGCAAAAGTCCAAAGGGGATAAAAACACAGTTTAGATGTTGCTGACTGTAATTTTTGATTGCGTTCAAAATATGCAGGAATATAAGACAAAGCAGCGGTTGTCACGCTGAAGGGTCCAGCTGCTTAAAAGGTGTCAAATTATTGTACCTCGGCTGGATACGTCGGTGTTGGAAGCCAGGGGGTGAGAAAAGAGCCAAACCCAGCAGACTTTGGCACGTTTGTCCTTCACCGCTGGCACGGATGAGTCCACGCTGTGAGACTTCAGAGCACCGATAGACCCCCGCCGTTTTTACTACCCAAAACTATGACCTATGCCTTAGGAGCCGGACCATGAAGACTCCCTCCTGGAAGGACAGTAAACACGACGACAAGTGCTTTTTACACGCCGGTGCCCCTCCCAGTCTGCCGACCAAACAGTTCTGATGTAGGTCCAGCCAAAGAGCCGTCTTTTCAGGCAGCAAGGCACCATGAGGCCTAAAAGTTTGGGTTTTCAAGATTGAATAAATAAGATCATGTCAGCTTGAAGTACCAGGTTTTTGGGGGAATGTGTGCTGGCTGCAGTAAAGACATAGTTGAGAGCTATTACTTAAAATAACTCGACACCAGAAGGACCTCAAATCCACCAGTAAGGAAATTACAAACACAGTCATGTCAGTCTAGGGAAGCACCTCACACAAAGGTCCCCAAACAGCTCTCTTGTTGTCAGCTTTTATATAACTGAGCTGTTGGCATATTCCCTGATCTGGCCCTTGCACACAGGAGGGCTGCTGAGACTCTGTTAATTGCCTACTCGGTCGTTAAGTACGAGTAATGCTGACGCTCCTTAGCGGCGACTCCTCACAGGAGCCCAGGCACCCTGGAAAGAGAGGAAATTGTCGAGGGGGTCACTACCGACCCATCACAGGAGGCTTTTGAGAAGTACTTGGCTCTTCCTATACTGGTCTGGTACCCGTGCTCGGCCATGCGTACAGAACAATTAAGCAGAGGCAGGTCTGTTGAGAGCTTCGGCCAAGTTAAGCACGGAAATGTGTCTTTCCTGTTAACTCAAGAGTCTGGAAGTCACCTGTGTGACATTGCCCTCTCTTTCAGTTGCGAGCCACCGGCCGTTCGGTTGCAAAAACAATGCAGACATTGTGACGAAGAATGAGTCATATTTCACGTAGTTTCTACAAGGCGTTGTCACACTATATTGCACTTTGTGTCATCGTCTCTTCAATGAGAAAGTGCTCACTTTGCTGAAACAAATGACCTTAGCTTCTATCCATGTGCAGGATTGCAAATGTTGTGGAGGATCCAGGTCTGTGCTACAATGAACAGTGGAGATGTTGCTGTGTAGGCGACACACTCGCCTTTAAACTGCATTAACTGTTCTTTGGCCACTTGGAGGCAGCATGAACAAGCTAAAAAAACACACACCATTAACATAACCTCATAAAGTTTTTTGAAATGGATCATTAGCATTCATTTGGGATTGTGTTTCTGACAACCCGATTGAACTTAAGTGCAGTATTCTCTCGTCTCACTGACTGTGCTCCTCTCCTCTGTTGAACAGATAGTGTACAGTGCTGTTTGACTGACAACGGTTGCCTATTGGGGTTTTAAATTACAGCTGCATGGAGAGTCAGGTGATTGTGGTTAACACATAATAATATGATCCATTGCTAATGGAATGTATTGATTATAGCAGCTTTAGCGAGGCACACAGCGTCCATGATCTCTTGGTGGGTGGAGTGGAAAAAAGATCTGCATCAGTAAAGCTCTTTGCGACGCGGTGCATTTGCAGTGGCAAAAGAGGCACTTTGAGGGGCTATAACAGATGTCAGTGCATTACATTTTGAGGAGATGGATGGCCTGTGTTAAGTTTTCCTCTCAGTAATCCAACATGGCATCACATGGGTGCCTCACTGTGGAGACTCAGTAGAAATTCTTAACACAGTCCATGAAAGTTCACACACAGTAATGTTTGCCTTAAGTTCAGTGAGGACACGAGCAAGTGTGTGTCTGCACTCAATGGCCAAATAAAACGGGAAAAGCCCGAAATCATAATAGTAATGCAAATATGTGGAGGAGTACTTATGATACAAACAGGCAAGTCGCCAAATGGGCATCAACAAGTACCAGGGAGGGAGTCTCGTTTTTCCTTCAGACCGTAATGTCCACAACTAAGCGAGTGTCCTTCAAGCAGAATTTGGATTCTCAACAGATGAAAATATACTGCGTGAGCTCTACAAGATGGCTGTTCTAAGGCCAGGACACACAAGTCTCAGCTCCTGTGAAATACACTGCTGACACTGCTTGCACCCTGCCCTCCGTTACGCACAGGAAACTGCCCGGGACTTGATTGTAATTAGTTTGGCTCTGTGCTAAAATCTTCCGAGGATTAGCGGTTGTTGTCATTAGTGCAGGAAAAAAAACCTTTTTGTAGTTAAGGATTGTAAAACAAAATGCTCTACTACAGTCAAAATGGTAAATGGGAATTGTGTCAAGCAAAACACACTTGTAATTAAGGAATTACACAAGAAAAACATTAGAATGTTTATTGATTGTGTAACTGGACCAAGTAGCATGCCCACGGGGTGACAAGTGCTGTGATCATATGTTGTGCTGAAATATCATAACTAGGTCATAACTAAGTATGTGTTTTGTTGTGTCAGTGGAATTGGATCACACATCCTCTGGGTGGTAAAGGTTGACTTTCCCCGAGCTACTTCTGTGGTTGGCTCAATTGGGATTTAGAAATGTTTAAAATCCAAGATAAACTAGACCGAGGAGTCCGTGTTCAACATCTAAATGATCAGAAATCCCCTTTTTGGACATGGACGTTTTGGCTTGACCTGTGCCGCATTTTCCGATAACGATAACATTTAATATCACTTTATATTAAGTAACAACACTTTCACATGAATTGCTCTATTTTTTAGATAGTTGTTTAATTTGTCCCCTAGATATATTTTTGCAATCTTATCAAGAAAATGTTGTCGATTACACTGACTGCTCGACATCAGATGGAGCTGTTCCATTTTCAATGAACTCATTCTGAAAATGTGAATGTTGACGATTAAAGAGCGGCCTTTGATCATTTTTCAGAGGCCATGACTGTTATGCTTAAAGAGGCACTCTCTATGTTTCTTGGCTCACTCCTTATTTTCTGTATAAATTACATACAAAGAAAGCTTAAGAGGTGTTTCTCAAGGGCTCAACATTTTTTATGCTTACACTCAATTGGCAAATGTACTATGGAAAAGCTGAACTGTACTTGAAGTGCTGTATTTTAGTGTGGTTTGGAGCCGAGGTGGGGATCAATTGCTTGGTTTCTGCAGCAGCATCCCAGAAAGCCCCAGGGAGGTGGGTCTGAAGGACAGGTGGGGAGCCACACAGTGCCACCTCAAACCACTGTCCCCACGACAGGAAAGGAGACCAGCATGCTCAGACACCCAGGTGGTCAAACACTGCCGTGTCCCAGTGTGTACGGCTGAAACTTGCAACCATTTTTATTGTTCATTCATCAATATATTATGGCATTTAACAAATACTTTTGTCCACAAGATGTATAACAATACAATACGTTTTCAGACATGAGAATGTTGTTCTCGTCGATTAATTAGTTGAGCTATAAAATAAAATTGCATTTCAGTTGGATTAAAAGGCTCCTACAAAAATCTCCAAGTTGTCCACTGCAAATGTCTCGTCCAACACAAATATTTGCAAATGTCCAAAAGAGAAAGCAGCAAATCTTTACATTGTAGAAGCTAGAAGCTGTTTTCTTGTGTTGAGTGGGGCCTGAGAGAAAGTGATTATTATGTCATTGTTTGCTTTTCTGTTTCTTCCTGTCCTTCATTTTATAATTTTACCGTTGACACAAGTGCGTCTGATCTCTGTCCATCGAGCTGTTAAGGTCAAAGGTGAATAGTGATCGATGCAACCTCATCTTTTCTCATTGTTTCCTATGGCCTTACATGATTTTCTTTTCTAGTTTGTACACATATTTATTATTCTCTCTTTTTGTAACCTTAGGTTTACTGGTTTGACATGAAACTTAAAATAAGACCAAACCCTTGTACTTGATAATGTGGTTCATGCTGCCCTCCTCTGTTGCAGCAGCAGACTTCATCTATATTACCTCCCATTTACTTAAAGCAACACGGTGTATTAAATATAGTTATTGCTGTAATGCATGATACATAAATGCTGAATAATGAGTGCAGGTGTACAAACGCCAGTTTAACATCCAGTTATTAAAACACCATCAACATTGTCTTCTAGTTACGCAATGCGACTCAATTTCACTATTTAAACCCGTCTGAGCATCAACACGATAAGTTAAATCACGCCATTTATTTTAAAGAATGGTGGAAACATCGTCGGGGGGATTCATGTGAATTCGTTATCGTTAACACGGCCCGCTGGCTCTTTGTGGCGGCGGCCTTCACGCGAGACTGACATTCACAGCCAGCCAATCACAGCGCGGCTCACTGGGCCGTTCCATCCAATCGCGGAGCCTCTTGTTGCTAGGCATCCCCGCCCCCCGTTGCGACCGCGGACAGACAGAAGCAAGTGGACCGGTTGGAAGCTAAGGTAATTCATTCACATTGCAGCTGGTTAAATTCGATTGTTATCCTCTGTTCCGTTTTGCGGCACAAGCGCGCGTATTTTTACGAAAAATCAGAGCTATCTGCGAATGTTTTGTCCAGCGGAGGAAGAAGCAAAAACCGCCATTTAATTTGTTCTGAATTGGCGCCAGTCGTGCTAGCAACAACGTCAGTTGGTCACGTCCCCCTGGTGTTGTTGTTTGTAGCCACTAAGCGCGCGAGCTAACCGTTGGTACGTTAATTAGCGATAGCGGAGAAAGAAAAAAAAAAGCTCCCGATCGGTGAAGTAAAGTGGACGATGGCAGATTTCCACGAAGATCCGTCTGTTCTCACGAAAGAAAAGCTGAAGAGTGAGCTCGCGGCTAACAATGTGCCGCTTCCCGGCGGAGAGCATAAAAAAGAGGTGTACGTACAGCTGTACTTGAAGAACCTAACCGCCCTAAAGGAGAAGAAGAGCGCTCCCACCGACACGTTCTCCAGCGACGAGGACCTGCCCCTCCCCGTGATGTCCGGCTCCAGTCGATCTGGAAGAGTAAGTTTCGCCTCATTGTTTTTTTTGTTTTTAATTAGAGGGAGGAGGGGGGTTATGGATAGATCAGTCAATGACTTGTATAATGTGTACACTTTATTATTTCTACAGAAAGCTACGAAAAAGACGGACAGGCCTCGCTTGAAGGAAGTGGAGGTGACGGACCTGACTGATGATGATCTGAAGCAACAGCTGGAAAAACATGGTGTGCAACCAGGACCCGTTGTTGGTGAGTTCCTCGAGGCGTGTGTGAAAAGTAAGGTTATGGTTGCCAATATTGAAGATTTACCTGCATTTACCAAGAATCCGTCAAATGTCGTTAGTATGTAATTAGTTCGTTGTGACGGATACCTTCAAACATGTCTGCCTTCAGCCTCCACAAGGAAGCTATATGAGAAGAAGCTGCAGAAGCTTTTGGACCAGGGTCCAGCTCAACCTTCCCCAGACCTTACAGCTCTCCCCAATAGAGACGGTAACCCAAATGGCAACACAAATTCGGAACAGTACAGTGACAAGGAAGATGGTGAGCTCCCATGACGTGTCCAAAGCATGGCCTGAATATGTCCGCATGTCGTCTTTTGTTGCGTAGAGTTATCAAGAAACCTTGATGAATCTGATTCCTGCACAGCCCCCCTGATTTAATGTTGGCAAAACGGGGATTTCTGAACTGATTGCTTCATGTTTCACTGTTGTGTTGACATTACAACATGTGTTTCTTTCAGAGGGGATCGCTGAACCCGAACCTGTTCCTGTGGTGGAGAACTCGAGCAGAGGGAAAACTCGAGGCACAACGAGCAGCAGAGCACAAACCAAGGCGAGGCACATTAAGCACTTCACGATCTCTGTGATAAGAGTGTATTTTCAATTTGTTATTAAAACAAAAAATTGTATTCAATTGTACTAACAGGTTAGTGAAGACACTCCCAAGGACACCAACAAGAGTGTTGAAGATATTCTTGCCAATGAGATAGCCACACCAGGCATGAGGTAATGAGCATGTGAATCATGCAAAATGTGACTCAAAATGCAGTGGATCTTGGATTAAGATGTGTTTGTGTCTAGCCTAATCTTGTTGTTTCCATGGTCAGTGTAACCTGCCGGCGTCCGATCCGGGGGGCAGCTGGTCGACCACTGGACCCAAGTGAATACTGGCTGGACGATTCCCATTTGCAGCACAGCGTCCACACAGAGACCCGCTCTGCCTTCCCACGCAAAGCGCCGGCCCAACAAGGCTTCCGCTCTATGTTGCTCATGCTCCTGTTGCTTGTTGCGGTGGCCGGCTCCCTCTATGCCTACTGGGACCTGGACGTCGACACCCTCAAAGGCGCCATGATCAGCGTAGCCTCTAACCTGGGCTACGGAGACCGCGATGCTGAGGTCGCCGGTGCTGAGGTCGCCGGTATTTAGAGATCCTCGGCAGTCTCTCCTCCTGGCCGCCTGCCACTGCCCGGCGCACAAGCAGCACACTCAAGCAGCAAACTCGTATGGCGGCAAATCACTGGCAGAATTCATGCATCAACCTGATTTGCGCTCTCGAATTTTGACAGTGATTTGCCGCCATAAACTCGGCTCCCGTCTTCGTCTTTCCCACACGGTTGGACAAAGGTTGCTGATTTCATTGGAACGCTGAACTTTCTCCTTTTCTGGACTTTGGCTTTCCTCCCGACCACCAGGAGATACAGTAACTTCTGGTTTAGTGGCAGTCAGAAGAGACTTTATTTCTTAACAGATTGTATTGTTCATTAATTCTGTGCATTGTTTGTGTCTGTGTGTATTTGACCCCTGTGTTCAGAAGGAGGTGGCAAATGGAGAGGCCCGTTTGTTCATGCATGGTTGTAGTTTTTGACGGTCAAACTGTAGGTTTCTAACTCTGTGCCAGGTGTTTTTTCTGACGGTGAAGTGCCTGGACACGCTTAGCACGTAGTGCCCTTCTGTTTTTAAGCACAAAGCAGTGCTACTACTAAGAATGTTATGTGTTTTCTGTTTTGAATTTTTAAATGTTCTCTGTAGCTACATCGATAGGTAGTGGGATTCATTATTGCTATGGTGCTCTGGTCGAGTCGGCTCGTTTTAATGTACTCTGCGCTGGAAGGAGACACGTTGTGTAACCCACACTGCATGAGGAAAATCCGCCCAGCTTTAGGTTCAGGTATTAAATGCATTTCAGCGGCTGTTGATCCTGCTCGAGTCATTGCATACGTGGCTCTAGGGCAACTTCGCATCCACAATTCAAATGAAACGCCTTTTTTTAGATATGATTTACTTATTTGACAATTCCTCATGAGGGATGCTCAAATTGCAGTGTTCGAACATGGACTATTGGTTTCCCTGTTGTCAGATCAGGGACATTTTTTCTTTGGGTTTGGTTCTGTTTTCATTAGATGTCTGATCCTTCAGTCCGATCAGCAGGATTGGCTGTTGCAGTGCACCCACATAGCCCACCTTACTGGCTGCGTGTGTCCAGACCTGGCGGATCTGCCAAAAGAGACACATGGAGAAGGTTAATCCTTTTGGCACAGTTATGTCACGTTATTCTCTTCAGAGCTGTCTGACTAGACCTGCCTGAGCCAATTATCACAATTAAGAGACATTCTTCTTCTCTGGATGAAAGAGACGATGCAGTGGCTGGCGGAGATGTTGGGAGGAAGTCTTGGCCATCTTTGTTTCTATTTTGATATTTTTCTAAAATGGTATGTTCCACTTTTTATAGAACATTTTAAGCTAACAATTGAAAGCAATATGTAAAACATAAAAGTGATACTGTATCTTAAGTTTGCTGACGCAAAAGCAGTTCTCCCTCAATGGTCAGAAACAAAAGGAGTTATGTGGGTAGGGATTGTAATTCTGTTTGATAAATAAACGGCGATGTATCATAAAATAAACTTTCCTTTCACCTGATTTTTGTCTTTTATAGAACTGACACTCATTTATTGCACATTTTCACCATTTTATCGCAAAACATTTGAAATGTGAGTAATATGCAATCCATGCTTCCTGGGGTTTTACCAAATTAAGCTACAAGTCATATAAACACTGAGTTATGAGTGAGTTGTATGTGCTGTTTAGAAAAAATAAACTTAGGACACCTTTCATGCGGATGCACGGTCACTGTAATAAATGAATCAAGAACGTTTCCTTTTCATTAAGCTGATGCTTTTATTCCAAGCAAGTTACAATTTGTGCATTCAGCCATGAGGGCACAGACCCGGAACCACAACAGCAATCAAGGAAGTCTAACTACAACATTTTGTAAGTGCTACTTAGTCCAGGTATATTCGGTAGAAGTGTGTTACTTAGTTTGCGTCGGACGGTGTATAGACTTGTGGGCCTGATGTCATCGGGGAGCTCATTCCACCATTTAGCAGCCGCTGGTAACCAGTGACTGGAGCTTCATTGTGTGCTTTTATTCCTGCCGTGGTTGAGTTCTTGACCTCGTGGGGCAGTAATGAAATCAGTGTTGAGGTTTGCTTTATTAGCAGAGACTCTGTGCTGATGTATGTGAGCGTGTACCAGCTGACTGAGGTGACCCCTGCAGTGCCTAACTCAGACTTTGCAGGGGATGGAGAGGCTTAGTCAATTAAATCCAGTAGGCTGCAGCCCGGGAGCACAACAGGAAGAGGAGCAGCCATAGCGGGGTCGAGTCTGACTGAAGGGTTGGAAAAAGGAAGGGGACTTGCACTCAAAGTGGCTGGACCCTCAAGGCAACAGGTGAACAGACATGATTTCCTCTGTGATGTGGAATGTTTAATAAAATATCTGCAGGAGACGCGCAGATCTAGAATGGATTGGATTTTCGTTTGTATTTGTAAAACATTGTCATGAAGCGTGTTTTCTTTTCTCTATTAAGTGATAACATTTGTTTCATCAGCATCCTCTTCATGTGCTCTGTATCCATTCTGAAGAGTTTTGAGTTTTGTGCTTTCCGGACTTTAGAATTGAAGATGAAATGGTTTGTTGTCATGTGATAATCCACTAACGGACATTAGATGGTTGTTTTTTCAACACTCGCACTGACAGCTTCCAATTGGAGTGTTTATCTCTAGGTAAACTAAAACCACTGAAAGGCCCAGTTACATTTTAAAACAAGAAATAGTATAGATAAACTATTCACAAATTAATATTAATCGGTTTATTTCTTGAGGGTCGAGAAGCATGTTTCCTTGTCGTAAAGCTTTATTTGGGTCCCCATGACTCGTCAAATAATTCCCCAGGTAAATGAAAGGATGTTATTTAAGCAATAAGGTACGAGAGGCTGTATTTTATCGTCCAGCAAGGAGTTTGGCTCTTGGCGGCAAAATTATAAATAGTAAGTAAATTGCTGCCTTTCAGCACAAAATAGTTGTAGCCACCAAACGTTGTGTATCGCATTTCAGTAGTCTAGAGAAAAATAGTCCCTGTACGTGCACGTAAACGTTATTGGGTCTCCTTGCAAGATCTCGCAGAATCTCATTCATTCACATCGCTGATGACGTCCACCTCAATAGTCCGGGTGCTAAAGCTCACATTGCCCCAAACCGATCATTTGTGGGATTTCCGGTCTTTTTGTGTGATCGCCACCGAGCTAAAAGCTGAAATGTCACGGTAACGGTCGAAAATCTAAAATGTTACTGTGGGTGCGGAGTGATACTGAACGCTCGGGTCAATGTGAACAGGTACTGTACATTATCGCGCAATAATGCACCCCTCGTGACTCACTCTCAACCAATTAGAACGCTGGATTTCATCTATCCGTGTTACATTATACATTAACCAGTTGTGTTTACATGCTTTGAGCGGAGAGCACCTTCTCTTGGTAATCCAGCTTCATTCAAAGATAATGAATGGGCAGTTCACGTCGTGCACTTCTATTGCTATTTCAGACGTGGAAAATTGTTAGAGCTAATTCGTCTTTCAGAATAAGATGATTTCAAGCAGTGATACCATGCACAGACAGAAAGTGTTGTATTATTTTTTCAACAATTTGCGGCGTAATTGTGGTAAAAATTCAGAGGCAGCGAGACGATAAATATTTCACATTATTATGTTATTTGTAAACAGTGACAATAATATTGGAGTCTTAACGAGGAGGAAGGATTACGTAATACACTGCATTCATCCACAGAGAAGATATTAGCATATGTGTGTGTATATATTTTCTATATATAACATTAAATGCAAGGTGAATGTCCACATGTAGTTCAGGTGCACCAGATGGTGGCAGCGTTAAGGGATTACAGTAACTCCTTTAACAGTCTGCAGTCAGTCAGTCAAGTTTGGCATCCGATTATAGTGCTCCGTCCTCCATTTGGGTTTGGAGAGGAGGGAGAGGAGGGAGAGGAGGGAGAGGGGGGGGGGCAGGCCTTGAGTCACATGAGCTCCAAGCTACTGCGGCAGCTGACCGGCGGATACCTGCTCGGATTGTCTGGTTTGCACTAATAGTAGCTGTGGGAGGTGGATGCGGAGGCCGGGGGTCCGCAGCTCTGTGGGATCACACCTCAGGTATCCGTTCACTCTGCCATGCTGGTTACATCTTGGTATTTATACCTCGCAGCTCGGAGCCTCGCCAAACAATGCAAGTACTGCTCCTTTTTTTGTGCGTGTCTGGCCGCTTGTCCTTTCAAGGTGAACTCTGCAGGAAGATAACGCATCGATGTCATTGTGTCTTCTCTTTTTCTTTTTTATTTGTGTAATTGATCTAGGTGTCTGAGAATTCCTACATCCGTTAGTGCTACTGTGAGGAGTGTGTGGCATCGTTTTTAATCCATCTACACTCAGATTGTGAAATGCGGTGTCATGAATGCAGTATTTATGAAGTTTGAGCACGCAGCTTCCCGGCTGCAGGACCGTGTCCCTCAGTTGTGTCCGTGCGTCGTGTTCGTCGCTCTACAGTCAACATGCTTTCTGACCAGTAACCTTGTTCCCCTTCCTCCTTCCTCTACTTCTTAATCTTACAGTGAACATGGCCTCAATTCTGCAGAAGCTGCTAACTCCGCTGTTCAGCGGCCCTCCTGAGCCCCCCAGGAATAAAGTGACAGTGGTGGGCGTGGGGCAGGTCGGCATGGCCTGTGCTATAAGCATCCTGCTCAGGGTAAGAGCCCCACTGGTTTCGCCTCAGATTACCTTGATGCCAGCTGGTGTCACAGAAGAGGGTAACACCCAGAACCGACGCCGGATTATTCCTGATCTCTAGGGTCCGATCTGTTATCACTCGTTGACGGGGTAAAAGGGTGGTGAAAAGACCAAAGCAACTTAGAATTTGACTTTATTGAAGAAAATACATGCATAACACTGTGGATGTAGCAGGTGGAGGCCTAGTTTATTATTATTACATGCTTAACCCATAGAATAAGTATCCTCGATCCTCCCCATTATTGATAGATTGATTATGATTGGTGAATGAGTGTAGAGTGCTGTTTGCAGGAGCTGGCTGATGAACTTGCCCTGGTGGACGTGATGGAGGACAAGCTGAAAGGAGAAATGATGGACTTACAGCACGGCAGCCTCTTCCTCAAAACCCACAAAATAGTCGCAAACAAAGGCAAGTTTAAACCTCACACGTCGGAGTGTGCAAGCGTTGATGACACAAAGATACCCCAGTGCGTATAGGACTTTGGAAGTGAGGAAGCGTGACCTTCGTCTACTCCTCGGCTTTCAGACTACTCCGTGTCAGCGAACTCCCGCATCGTGGTGGTGACGGCCGGAGTCCGTCAGCAGGAAGGGGAGAGCAGGCTGAACCTCGTCCAGAGAAACGTCAACATCTTCAAGCACATTGTCCCTCAGATTGTACGATACAGCCCCGACTGCACCATCATTGTGGTTTCCAACCCAGGTACCCTCCAACGCCATGTCTTCACTCTGTTTTTAACTTCCCTCGTGCACCTAACGATGGCAACAAGTCTTTCTAACAGTTGATGTGCTGACCTATGTCACCTGGAAACTGAGCGGCCTCCCCAAGCACCGCGTCATCGGCAGCGGCACCAACTTGGACTCGGCGCGCTTTCGCTTCCTGATGGCCGACAAACTGGGAATCCATCCCAGCAGCTTCAACGGATGGATCCTGGGCGAGCACGGAGACACCAGTGGTGAGGACTTGTGTTCCGTTAATGGTCCGTCTAGACCGAGTGTGCAGCGTGTGGACGGAGGTCACCGGTTTTAAGCTTGTGTCTCTAGTGCCCGTGTGGAGCGGAACCAACGTGGCGGGGGTCAACCTGCAGACGTTGAACCCGGACATCGGCACCGACTGCGACGAGGAGAACTGGACGGAAACGCACAAGATGGTGGTGGACAGGTGGGGACACTGTTCTTGTGAAAATGTTCTGGTTCACTCTTCTCTCGTATAAATCCCGTAAGAATGACACTGACATTTTCATCCAGATCATAAATAACCTTTTTAGTTTTAGGGTCCCTTCTAAATGGTATTTCACATTGGTTAGATTTTGTTATCTGAGTTTAATGCATATCAAAACAGACGAAGTGCTAACTATTGGCTGGTGATCCATAATGCAGTCTATTGCCACCTGTATGAACTGTCGTGTCGGTATGAAAATTGGACAGTAAAAGAGTGAGACAAAATTGCGCCTCACACCAAAAGTCTTGTCCTGTCCTCCCAGTGCCTACGAGGTGATCAAACTGAAGGGTTACACCAACTGGGCCATCGGGCTGAGCGTAGCTGACCTGACAGAAAGCCTCATCAGGAACATGAACAGGATTCATCCCGTGTCCACCATGGTGAAGGTAAAGGCTGCTCACACGGAACACACACACACACACACACACACACACACACCGGCGTGAGCTGTAGCGCATCTCTAAACTCTACTGTTTTGTAGCATTGCCTGAATCAATGGCACCAAACTGCTTTTGTCTAAACAAATCCACTAATAATGACATTTCCTTTGCAAATGTAGTTTTTTCTTTGTTTAGCCATTTCAAATTTCAGCACAAGAATCCCCCATTTCTGCTGCCGGTGAGGTTTTGGTGTGTTGTGTGCAGGGCATGTATGGGATCAGTAACGAGGTGTATCTGAGCCTGCCCTGCGTGCTGAACGCCGGAGGCGTGGCCAGCGTGGTCAACATGAGCCTGACGGAGGACGAGGTGGCCCGGCTGCAGGCCAGCGCCGGCACGCTGTGGGACATCCAGAAGGACCTGCAGGACGTCTGAGCGCACAGCAAGGGGCCGTGCGGCCCTTCGCCCCCGACGTACCATCACATCTGCGGTCACTAAACGTCACGCGGCGCCACCTTCCATTCACTGCCCAACGTAGATCCACGGGAGTTTATTCCCATCAAACGTAGCCGTAGCTGTCTGTTTGTGACATTGGCTCTCTCTCACCGACCAGTGTGCTGGACGGTTTATCTAAAACGTTACCATGACAACGTGAACAAGCTAACACACGGAAAGCGCCGACTTTATTGTTTTTATCGGCACGTGGGTGCATTTTGTGATGCACCGCCCTGCGATGGAAACGGAACATGATGATGTCATAAAATGGACATTTTTATCACAGACTTGAACCAGTAAATTAACTCTTAATAAATGTTTTAGTTCACATGTGTTTATTAGATGAGCATGTTGTTTGTGAGGAAAGACGACTGAACGCAGGTAAAACATTGTTATGCAGTTTAGGTGTCCTAGAATAAAAGCTTTAATGGTTGCATAATATGAGAGCCTTTCTTGCACAGATAGTTTTAGAGATTTTAAGGATTAAACTGTCACTGCTGGTGACCTTTGATTGACTCCGTCACCGTTAGTTCAGGCTGCCATGTCCAATAAAACTCCCAGACGGTGTGATGATGAACGACTCGGTGATGTTCAGCATGGTGTTAATCATTATGTGGTGTGAATCTCTTAATCGCTGCCCAGAGCTGAAAGAAACATTTTACAGGACAGGTAGAAGGAAATCCCTCCCTCGTCTTCACACACAGCAAACCGCACCAAACAGCAAAAAGGAATTTTATTTACTCAGCAGGTTTGTAAACTCGAACAGCAACAAGTGACACATATAAGAAGATGTGATGGATACTAATAAGATAACAAAAAAATATACATATATCTTCACACATATTTCAAATTCAGCTGTTGTTCATCGTGGTAATTATCTGGATTACCTCCACCTGAGGAAACAATTTGATTAGAAACGATTTGGATATAAATCTCTGTTTTGTTGGAAACTTTCAGGATTTTGACCTTTTTCAGCGACTCGCTGCAGAAGCTCCAGAAGAAGCGAAGACAAAGACGCTCCGGGTCCATCAATGCTCTGGTCGCGAGTCACTGCAGAGACATTTAAGACAAGTTCAAATGTTCTGTTATCAAACTGTTACACAGAATCAGTCAAATCAGTGACCCCCAAGAAGTCAGGTGAAGTTTGTAAATGGGTTGTTTAAAAAAAAAGGTAAAGCATCTTTTATGCATTTTAAAATGTTAATTAAGTAAATTGTTAAGTGTTGTGAGGTTTTTGTAGCCAAATCTAAGTCAAATGTTAGTTAAAACTTTGCACTGGAATGTATTTTTCTGCAGGTTCTAATAGTAGTAATGAACATATTATAACAACAGAGACTTTACACTCTTCCTTACTAACTGCTTGTATTACTTATTTACCAAGTCATTAGTTACAAGTTGCTTCAAAGAGCCTAAAATAATACTGCACCACTGCACAAATAGCATTTTTTACTATCCTTTCTCAGTTAGCTGCAGGGCATCACATGCTGCGCTCACCTATGTGTAACGTGTTCCCTTCCACTCTGCTGGTGCGCCGCAACACCGAGCGGTCTCCTGTAAAACACCCACGCTCAACACAGTTCCATTCATTTCTCCAAACCAGTTATTTCAACAGCTTTACATTTCCTCTGCGAATTCTTACGTGCTCCTTTTAGGTATAAGATGGCGTGCGGAGTCCAGTTCCTCTGCTGATGCAAAAGACCATAGTTTATCTCATCATTCTATTCCTCAATGTGTTTGTTTAAATTGAGCTCAAAGAGCAGAAAATGTTCTTCCACCCACTTGTGCTTCTCCCCAAGTCGCGGCCACCAATGTCACCACAAGCAAAGTGACTGTTGGAACCATTGTTGAACTGTAATTACATTCAGTGACATTAGAATATATATATATTTTTTTTTTTTTAAGAAATCTTTAAAAAAAAAAGATTTTATATTGTCAAAGTGATTCGAACAATATTCTCACTTATCTGCTTATACAGAGGAGTTCTAACAGTGGACAAGTACATGTATAAACTGCTATGTCTACATTTACATTGCAGTCTGTTAAAAACTGCTTATGACCTAAAGTATGTTCACTATAAAAACAATTATCTGGCTTCTCCTTTAATTGAAGGACATGTCAAGAGTGCAGAAAGCAACAACTAATATAAAAAAATATAAACCGTGATAACAATAACACACAGCAGTAATAATATAAAGAATAAGAAGGACCTTACCGTTGATTGTGTGTACGCTCTCCTGTGGGCTAAGCACTTGTGTTATGAGCTCCTCTCACTGCCACATTATGAAATCGATCGACCTCTGCGTCACTGATGAGGCTAAAGGCCTCACTGGGGCCTTGTGTTATATTTCCATTGACGAGATTGACAGGTGTTAAATCCGTCATGGCTCATCAGGCACAGAGAGGAGAGGGAGACATTCACAGCCCTTAAAGTACCGCATTGTCTTCGCGAGGTCACCACGTCACATTTTATGAATGAAAGCTGGCTTGACGACAGCGTGCGAGTGGAGTCGGCGGGCGTAGACATGTGAGGCCTTTGGGCGGAGGAGGAGGTGGAGGAGGGAGAGCCCTACAACAGTACCGTACTTTTCATCGCGTACTTTGTCATTTGTCTTCATTACTCGTTCTTTGGTGAGCTTTACGAGGTTCCGTTAAGTTCCCCTGGAAGTTTCCCTTTGGACGGAGGCAGACCAGCTGGTGCCCACTTCCTGTCTTTATGCTAAGCTACGCTTTCTTACTTTCCAAAGTGTCTCAACTTATTACTCATAAATATTAATGGAAGGTTTTAAAAACACGCTGTATTTTATTTTGTCATCTTTGTGATCTTACATCATTATTTATGATTACTGCTGTGATGGTTAAACGGCTACTTGACAAGAACATCAGAGACTTTCATGCAGGAACTGAAATGAATGAAAAACCAAAGGCTCTTTGTTGAGAAGGCCGCTGGTACCCTGAAGCAATTCATGCCTTTTAAAAATCTACAGTGATTATACATCCTGCTTGACATATAAACCTGTTAGCAGTGCTGGAAAAGCAACCACCGCACAAGCTTATAAAATACACTTTATTTCAAATACGCACATACAAAAGTTACAGCCAACACCTCCATAGAAAGCATCTTAACCTTAACCGTCTTTGCCAAAGTAACACCTGGTTTACCATTTATTTTTAATGTACAACATTCCAGTAAGGTTTCATCAAAGGAAGAAGCTGGCGGTTCAGGCACACGTTGCAGAGGAGAGGATGCTGCAGAGAGCTCCAGACTCTCCGCTCAGTTGATGCCGGGTTCCCACGTTATCAGTCCGTAAATGTCAAGACGGGGATAATACAAAATGGGAGACCCGCTTCCAGCGCTTAAAACAATAATTGAAAAAAATATTGTGGCTGTCAGATGGAAAACACCATGAGGTCAGTCAAACATCCACCGGTACACTTTGTTTGGATTCCCAGATCTGGAGTGGCAATGGTCAAAGTATACCGGATCTATTAGTAACTACTATAAATAACGACGCGGCCCTCTGATGCTCCTCTGTTATACCATGTTGTTGCTCTCACCCATTTTATCCACTAGCTGAAAGAGAATAAGACAGGTGTTATTTATAAGCTGCAATTTGTTACAAACTTATTATAAATCAGGCAGAATAAGTTAAAAGCTCAGATGAAGAAAAAGGCCAAAAATAAATCTGGTGAAACCACTGAAAGGAAAGTTTACCCCAAAGACGTAATGAGACAGTAACACAATGATATAACTGATTGACAATGAATAATAATCAATCATAAAAGCTAAATTCAAAGGGAATTGGATGAATTTGGGATTCGTTGCTCGACGTGATACTTACTCCACTGATCCATGGCAAACTGAGCAGAGACCCGAGCAGAGGTACTCGTCTGATGAAGCCCACCGCCACCGGGAAGAATCCCCTGTTAATGAGAGAGCGAGGATGAGGCGAGAGAAATAAATCACATTGATTCGGGATAACGACAGCGACGAGATGTTGCGGTCTTGTCTGTTTGAGCCGACCTGAATAAGAGGAAGAAACCGTAAATCTCCAGAACGACTCCAACGATCGGCCATCCGATGAGAACCACCAGCACTCCTCCCAGGAAGAAGCTGGTGGCTTTCACTTTGTGTCTCTGGAAGAAGAATCTGAACGTTCGCTCGAGGCCGATGACGAAGGAAAGGCCGCACACAAACAGGATCTGCCAAGCGAGACACACAGTGGGATCAGAGCCAGAAGGGAGAAGTTTGCCGGCCGTGCAGTGTGGTGATGGGATTATTGATTAACTCACATTTCCAATGGCGAGGAGAGCTTTATCAAAAAACAGCACCATCCCAAAGAAGAGGAAAAACACACCGAACCCGGTCAGCCCCATGCCAATTTCTGTGAGAAACAAGACAGTGGTTTAAATGGCCATGTGGTAACATGAAATAAGCTATTGGTAAGATTATACTGTCATTTTTAAAACCCAGTAGCTGCACACACTAATTAAAAGGGAAGACTGGATAAAGATAAAAAAGCAAACCGGAAATGAAACAAAATTAAACCGTTAAATATTCTAAATCATCTGTGTGACAAAATAGATCTTTTTAGAAAATCCAATACTTTACCAGAGATGCCAATATGCGATACAGCCAATCACAAACACTGTGATGCATAATTTGATTTAAACTTCAAACTTATAATTTAGTATTTAGAGCTGAAAAGCACATTAGCAGTTGGATAAATTCCCATTTCAATCAATACATGGTTTATCAAATAAATAAAATGTAAATATTTTCTTAAATAAATGATAACAAGCTAGTTGCTGACATTAATGCATGTAAAGGAAATACTAGCAGAGTTATTTCTCCAGTTCCCACACAGTGACGTAAGGCTGCGTGACGTAACTACCAGCTCAGCCAATGGCTGCTAACCTCATATGTTCAGCTAACTAACCGGGTTTTACGCGGAAACAACGCTAAAGACACGGACCAACATTAACGCTCCAATCTTACTTTGTGAATCCGTGAGTGAAATCATTTTGGCGGCAGGAGGAGATTATGTATCAATAATCGAACTACACGAAGCTCGCAGAGGCTAAAGACTGCTGCTTCCAGTCGTTGTGGCTAACTGGTACAACAGTAGCAGCGATGAAGGCGAAGCTAGCGGTTTGTTACGCCACGTCGACGGGAGGGACGCGCACACGTATTCTAACAAAGATCGTCTATGCTGCAGTTGTTTGTCAGCGTGTGGTTCTTCTTCTTCTTCTTATTTGGTGTTGTGCTTTACCGCCACCCTCTGGACTGCAGTGTGGAGCAGGACTTTACGCAGAACCTAAATAGATCAATAAAATAAAATAAATTAATATTAAGGACAACTCTAGATTTGTTTAAATAAATCCGTTTCTCTCAAAAACGGAATAATTGAAAAGTATATATTTATCTACTCGATTCCTCAATTGAGCTGACAGTGACCAGTTGTGATGTTTTGCCTTCCTTAGTGACAATAACATTCCCGCATTGTAACAGTACATGTTGAACGGTTTCTGGTTGGTTACAATATGAGCATTTCCCAGTTGGGTGCTTGCCTATTCTATGTAATGTATGGTTAAAAACCTGTATGTCCAATTCTCAGTCGAGCAATGATATTCCCTTCACTTCTTTTCCATCCAACCCTTTTCCTTGCCCCAACATGTTTTTGTGTCTTGTACAGATGCCTTCCAGTTTCCTGGTCATCCCAGTACTCCTGGTCCCCATGTCCACGTCAGATTTAATTGTTATTATTTATGCATACAAGAGAGTTATTATTTATTTAACCTATAAACAAATTGAGTATATTTTTTTAGCAACGTCATGTATCAGTGTGGGACGAGAGGTCTAGCCAATGGAAAGCAGCGGAGGAGACGTGTTGGCCAGTCGGTTTCTGGTCGCCAGAGAATCAAGCAGAGTGAGAGCTCTTCAGGATTTATAGGGCAGCGCTTGTCTGCGCATGTACGTTCGAACGTTCCTGTGCGTCACAACTGCGCGGTGATTGCGCCATTAATACATTATACACGCTTCCTTTCCGTCACTTTCCACATATTGTTGCAGCTAATATTGTCACGAAAACAATACATGTATTTATTTTTTAATGGTGCCTTGGATACTGACAACACTAAGAACACTGCGTACCAATCACCCCGCCACCGATGTCAGAAAAGAACTACAACTCCCAACAGCCCCGCGATAAGGAAGTGTTTCTGTCGGTCTTCAGACGTTTTCAACTGAAACAGGAGTTCGTGTCGAGGCAGAAGCTCTGCTCCGAGACAAAAGACGCCGCGTGTTTGCAACTATGCGCCGATTAGCAGTCCGCTTCATCAAGTGACACATTTCCCCGCGAGTCCTTTGCCCGGTGAACCGTCATGGGCCCCGGTGCTGCTGTTGCGCTGGTGTTTGTCGGCTGCTGCAGCAATGTGGTGTCTCTCGAGCTGCTTGTGAGGTCAGTGACAAACTGACTTCTCTCATATGGACTTTACCCACTAATAGAGAAGTCATTATTAGGGATTTAATTGAGTGTGTACTGTAGCCATTAGTTAAGTCAGTCTTTTTTATTGTACTTTGGTCGAACTTTTGGTCAAGATCTTTGATCTATATTAAAAATATTTGTATGCATGTACAATCGTGTGTGTGTGTGTGTGTGTGTGTGTGTGTGTGTGTGTGTGTGTGTGTGTGTGTGTATATATATATATCAGGACCGTATAGAAAATTAAACTTACATCACTGGGATAGAATAAGGGGAAAGCAAAAATGAAAGCGTTTTTTTTTTGTGGTCGTCTTTAACTTCTACAGGAGATATAAACGCAGTTAGGATACAAATAAACAACTGATATATAGCTTCGATCTAAAAGATGCACCTCTTTCCTCTTGAGCTTCTAATCTCCCCGGGTGTTACATCAATACAGTACATCAATACAATACATCAATACAATCGTAAAGGCGAGGGCCCTAAAACAAAGTAGTGAATCTTAGTACAACACAAACCAGTCAATAAAACACTAATCAACAATTCATGGTACGCGGTTGTATTTATCCAATACAAATGTAAAGATATTGATTGTTTGGAAATATTCTGTTTTGCAACTTAATTTTAAATTATTTAAATCCAGTGAGTGTAAATTCTGTTGTTTGGTCCTTCAGACAGTTTCCAGGATGTGGCAACATTGTCACCTTCGCTCAGTTTTTATTCATCGCGTTGGAAGGTTTCGTCTTTGAAACCAACTTCGGGAGGAAGAAACCAGCGATCCCTGTCAGGTAAAAACTCCTCGATGGGGTTTGAACTTTGTGCAGCAGCAGAAACATATGTTGAGTAAATGCTGAAACAGACTCTTATGTTCCTTTTCTCCCCCCAGAAACTATGTGATCATGGTGACCATGTTCTTCACAGTCAGTGTGATCAACAACTACGCTCTCAACTTCAACATCGCCATGCCGTTACACATGATCTTCAGATCAGTAAGAACCGTTTTCACCTTCAGTTCAGGGTTTTCCCCATCACCCTCGGTCTGATCGCTGCCTTTTTTTCCATGCAGGGATCGCTAATCGCAAACATGATCCTGGGAATAATCATCCTGAAGAAAAGGTACGCCTTCTTCCTCTGACAACAGCGCTTCTTCAGCGAGGAAGTCAAGTCTGCAGGTTGAAAGCATCACGATTGATTCTGTCTCGCTTTGTTCTTCGCCTGCAGGTATTCAGCAAGTAAATATCTGTCGATAGCTTTAGTTTCAGCAGGTATCTTCATCTGCACCATCATGTCTGCCAAACAAGTGGTGAGTCCTCTACAGAGTTGCATTATGACAATGCTTGTCTTCATTTGTCGATTGTCTTTAGTGTCTGCTTTTTACACAGTTATTTCAATACAAGCCGCGTTGGCCGTGTTGTTTTTTACAGTGCATTTTGTCTTTTTTCCCCCCCCCGCAGAATGTGGCCAATGAGGGATCAGAAGAGGAGAGCTTTTATGCCTTTGTGCGCTGGCTTATAGGCGAGTTTTCAAGTGCCGAACACACTTCATGTCAACATGTCGGGCTGAAGTTAGTTAAATTTGTGAAGCATTTATTCTATAAAATGTCATAAAACCAAAGCCTTTGATGATCATTTTCCACAGTCCAGAGTGCCGTCAGCAAACCAGCAACATGAACACCACATCCTCCATGTCATTTATTTGTTTTTTGTTGTGGATCTCCGGCCGTTCAGGTATCGGCATGCTGACCTTTGCTCTGCTGATGTCTGCGAGGATGGGCATCTTCCAGGAGACGTTGTACAAGCAGTACGGGAAACACTCCAAGGAAGCCCTCTTCTATAATGTGAGCTTTCTCTCCCCGCGCGCAAGATTCAATCGCCTTCGGGAGTAATTCCAGCTTTTGATCTTTGTCCTGTGTATTTGTAGCACTGCCTGCCTCTGCCAGGCTTCCTGCTTCTCTCCAGCGACATCTACAGCCACTGTCTGTACTTCAGTCAGAGCAGTGAGTGCCATCGAACCATTGAGGGGAGCTTTGTACTTGACTCACAGATGTAAATAAACCTCCTCTCTCTCAGCTCCTACAGTTGTTACCTGTGGTCGGACTCACTGTGCCGATAATGTGGCTCTACCTGCTGATCAACGTCATCACACAGTATCCTGTAAAAAAAACTATACTCTCTTATTTTGTCTTCGGTAGCAGTAATTGCCTAATTCTATTGGTGCCGGACCTCCACATGATGATAGAAACAGCTCATTTCTCATGGCGAAGCAGCCACATCTAACGAGACGCCGCAAGAAAGCCCCAAGTCAAAAGGTTCAGATTGAACTTCTGCACGGTCGCAGGAAGTATTGCATCATTTACATCGCTTTTTTTTCAAACTCTTGCTACAGACTTTAACCATTTCCTTTCAGATATGTGTGCATTCGCGGGGTTTTCATCCTCACCACGGAGTGCGCCTCGTTGACCGTCACTCTGGTGGTGACGCTGAGAAAGTTCCTCAGCCTCATCTTCTCCATCATGTACTTCCAGAACCCGTTCACCGGGTGGCACTGGGTGGGCACGGGGGTGGTGTTCTTGGGCACCCTGCTGTACACCGAGGTGTGGGGCAGCGTGCGGGCGGCTCTCCGTGGACCCGATGTCAAGGAGAAGAAGGCGGATTAGAGCGAAAGAAGAAGAAAGGACTAAGTCAGACGCCGCGTTGGACTTTGAGATGGTTATTGGCCGACTATCCAGCAGTGATTTTGTCATTAATCATGTAATTTTGTCTCTGCCGTAGTAAACCTGCCCCTCTCTCAATCACTCACTCACACACAAAAGAAGGCTGGTGACCTTCTATATTTTCTTCGTATCACTTTGTATTTAAGACGACAGACTTGCTGGTCAACACAGTGAAACATTTAGCAGTTAAAGACACAAATAATGGTTGTTTGAGACCTAAAACTGAGCAAATATTCATCCTACATTCATCAGTTGAATCTATTCACTTTATAATTATTCAAAATACCCTCCAAATGGAGCAGCAAACAAATATGGTCAGTGCAGAAGCAAAGCCTCCGTCCTCGGATAAACAGCTAGCGCCTTTAGTGTTGTTGTCTGCGCGGTTAGCGGCGTTGGCTTCTAGCCACCATGTTGAGAACTGTGTGGAGGCAATCCTCTGGATTTTGGGCTTTGAACTTTAGTTTCTGATCGTACATGAATCATTGAAAATAATTAGTTGCACCCTTAATGTAATGTAATGTGTCACCATCCCTATTTAACCTAAGTACCTCATTAGCATTCACACATGCAAATATATCCTCTTACGATATATAAATGTCTAAGGAGGTGATTCTGCATTATTTAAAGAATATACTGAGGGGATAATATATGGAGGTTACATTACAGGTCGTTTAGCTGAAACTTTTATCCAAAGCGACCTACATTACATTTTTAACCCATGGCTTTTTACATTTTTGCCCAGGGAGCAATTAGGGGTTAGGTGTCTTGCTCAGGGACACTTCAACAATGGGACATGGGGCAGCGGGGGCTTGAACCACCAACCTTGCCGTTCCCAGCACTCCCTCGCTACCCCTGCACCACAACGACCCCATGAGATGTCACTGCTGTATTTCTTTTTCCTCATGTGTCAAACTGACTGATGTATCAGGGCATCATTTAAGCGATGAAAACATCACGTTGTACAGGCCGATACTTCTTTACACTCCCTGCCCACTGAAATTAAAATGACAACTTGACTACAAATGTAGATTGTCCTGTCTCTGTAACTGTATAGTCAAATAATTAAATACTTAAGCATACAAAAAGTGCTATTCAAGTACTGTGCATGATATTGATAAATATATATATATTTTTTATTTTTTTATTTTTTTTGTGCTAGAATATTATATATATTATGTATCTTTATAGATTAATCAGTAAATAAAATAATCAAAATTAGCTGCATTTTTATCAGCTTCAATATTTATGTGGTGCTCACAAATACCCCAGTAACTCACATTGTATCTTAAATGTTTACATATATTTCCACTCGGCTGTGTTGCTACTTTTACTTCACAGTAGTCGTTAAAAAGTTTATTGGATTTGTTGAAATCAATGAATTAGTTTTGTAAACACTGAACGTCGGTACACGATGTTCCTTCACGTTTCATTGGCTTTAAAGGGATTCCACCAATCCGGAGAGGCCTTGTTCAGCTGCAGCCAATAGCAGCGGCCGTTGTTGACACTCATCGGTGGGCGTGGCACGTCTTCGCAGCTGCTCACGTAGTTGAAGTCCCTGACAGCGGGGACGCGTTGGGGATTAAACATCTCCAGGAAACACGCGGTCGTTACGGCGCGTGGATGGGGGGAAACGGCTCGAGTCACCTGTCTCGCGAGGACGGGGGAGGCGGGGGCGTCACTTTTGTGAAGGGCATTCGGGTGAGTGAAGGCTCGGGGAGGATGCATGCGCGAAGTGGGAGAAAGTCAAATGATCCCTGCAGACGGTCGCTGCACGGTGCAATGGGGCTTTTTTTCATCTGCAATTGTGTGTGCGATTTTTAAAATATGTTTTTAACTCTGCGATATTTGTTGATCGATACGTATTGATCTCGCCCTCATGTGTGTTGTGACAACACAAAGTCAGAGTCCCTCCTTACGATGATGTTAAGGGTTAAATAGGGGAAGCACATAGTCATTCACCTGGACGACACAAAGATGAAATGATCAATTATATCATGAATATTAACGCAGCCGCCAAAACACGGGTTGTCCTTCACCAGCTGCGTTTCTTTAAATAACATTAACATGAGGTAGTTCATGTAGTACCATTATGGGATTGTGACAAAAAACTTTTAATAGCCCATGTTCATCAAAAGTGTTCCTACAGGTAGCTGTTCTGTAGCTCCTCCCCCAAACTTTAAAACACTGGAATCTGATAATGTGTTATAGATTTTATAGAATAGATTCTTATTAAATTCATAGCGATAATAGTTTTTTTCTTGTTTCTTTTAAAGCTGTCGGATAAAGTGATCCACCGGATGAAGGAGTCTCCAAGCGTCGCTCCGAAGGTCTCACAGAAGAGACGTTCACCTGAAACCCAAACGCCTGCTCCCGCGCCCCCCCCCTCCGCTGATCACCCGATACCCCCTCTGGTGCCTCCACCTCCTGTGAAACTCGTCCCTCCTCCTCCGGTAAAGTTTCACTCCCTGCCCCCAACTTCTGTGGAGCTAAAGACTCCCCCTCTAATTCAGCCTGTTGTCCCGGATGCTGCTGCACCACCTGCTCCTCCACAAGAAGCCCCACCCACACCTCCATCAGTGGAACCTCCTCCTCCTCTAAAGTGTCACTCCCTCCCTCCTATGGGGGAGCATGAAGACCTGCCAAAAACTCCACCTCTCACCATCCCTGTTGTAGCTGCCCCTCCTCCACCTCCATCTACACCTTCTCCACAAGTAGAAGCACCTGTGGAGCTTGAGTTGCCTCCTCCACCACCACCAGCAGCACGGGAGCCAGTACTCCCAGATCCTGCTGAATCCTCACCTATTGTAGAGCAACCGCCATCTCCTTCGCCCATAAGAGAACATGTCTTCCAGCCTGTTCTTGTACCTCCACCTGTGGAATCGGCCGTGGCTCCACCTGAGCCTTTAGCTTCACTGCTGCCCTCTGAAACATGTCCAACTACTATTGAACCGGCTGCTGTAACTCCCTCTGTTGAATCTCTTGCAATCCCTGTGGAAACGGTTCAACCTCCACCCTGCGTTCAATTTACACCCGTTGAACCGACAACACCACCCTGTCTCGTTGATTCCGCTCCAGTTGAGCCTCTAGTTATACCGCCGCTAGTGGAGACGACGCTTGTGGAACCTTCCGTCCCACCTGCTGCAGTTGAAGAAGAAGGGCCTTCTCTCCTGGTTGTTGAGTCAAAGCTTCCATGTGAAATGGTTCCTCCTCCTCCTGAGCCGGTGGCAGCACCGTCTCCTCCTCCTCCTCCTCCTGAGCCGGTGGCAGCACCGTCTCCTGCTCCTGAGCCGGTGGCAGCACCGTCTCCTCCTCCTGAGCCGGTGGCAGCACCGTCTCCTCCTCCTCCTCCTGAGCCGGTGGCAGCACCGTCTCCTCTTCCTGAGCCGGTGGCAGCACCGTCTCCTCCTCCTCCTCCTCCTGAGCCGGTGGCAGCACAGTCTCCTGTGCCTCCGGGGCCTATGGCAGCCCCTCCACCTCCTCTAGAGCTCATTTTTGAAGAGCCCCCACCCCCCTGTCACTGTGTGGAGCTGGCCATCTTATCCACCGATGCACCGGTCAGTGAACGCCTCGTAGAGGCTCTGGCCCCGCCTCCATCCTCCCCAGTTACTCCTGCCGTGGAGCCCCCCGTAACCCCGTCCTTGCCCCCGGTTGGTGAGGATGAAGTTCCAGCTTCTGCCTCAGGAGCTCCACCTGCAGCAGGTGAGCTGAGTGATGCAATCTGACAGTTTGACATAAATCCACTTTCGTTTTTTGTCGTCTCACAAATGTCCCGTGTTTACATGCAGACGCGTTCTGCACACGTGTTCCTCCTGAAGTGGTGGAGGAAGAGTTGAGGCAGAAGATCAAAGAGGAGATGCAGATGAGTCTGGAGGAGGAGATCCACCAGAAGAGGCAGGAGCTGCAGCGACAGTAAGGACAAACTACTGTCAACGTTTTTGTCTCCTCTCATTTATTGTGTGGAAAAATGTTTGCAGATAAATTGGGAATTCTTGGGAACGTAAAAAAAAAAAAATCAAACGTGTATGAAGGATGCACGAGTAGAGCGCGTCAAGATGCGTGCTCTGTCTGAAGGCTGGAGGAGATGAGGACTCGGGCGCGAGCGGAGGCCCGAGCAGCCGCTCAGGCTCAGGTGGAGGAGCAGGTGAGGAAGACGCTGGGGGCGCAGAAGGCGGCGCACGCCGAGAACCTGAAGGACTCCATCATGAGGGAGCGCATGAAGACGGAAGACGAGCGGCTGATGGTGCAGCTTTATGTGAGCGCCAGAGACGCACAAACTGTTCATGTGTCAGCATCGCTCTGTGAATATGGAAATCTTTCCTCTCATCGTGCCTCTTTTTCTCTCTTTCCCCGGTGTGTTGTTTCAGCGGATGGAGCTGAAGGTGAGACGGGAGAGACTTTATACGTGCATGACTCACTTTTCCACTTTTCATTTGGCTCTAATCGCGCTTCCGATGGCGACTCTGCAGTCGAGTGAAAGCCAGTTAAAACAATGTAGAAAATAATTCCGGCCTCTAAAAAAGGAATTGATGAAATGTTGTAATGCTGATGTCAGTCAAACACATTTAACTCACGCAGGCGCATCAGCTGGAGGAGAGGGAGAAAGAGTTAATGAAACGAGACGCTCTCTACAAGGAACACGTCGCCAAGCTCGAGGCGAAGGTGAGAAACGCGTCGGTTATTCCTCATCGCCGGATCACATCACAGGTGGAAGTTACATTCAAGCCCCCAAACTGGTTTGAATGCTATTTGATTGATAACATTGAATATTTATGCCTCCAAAGTGAATGTGGATCTCGTCTCGACATGAAGGTGCTTCATCGTTTTCAGCCGCAGCAGAAAAGCAGTTGTCAGAGGAAATGTTCCTTAATATTTGTACTGTGATGTTTACTTATATTTTTCTTTTTTTGACAGTGCACTGAGTTTTACAAGGTGACCGCTGAGAGCTTCAAAAAGGGCAAAGAGGAGACTCACAGCCGCTTTGCGTACGTTTGGACAGTGTTTGTATAAATGCAAAATCACTATGTAAATTTGTCTTTTTTTTTTATTAACGTAGATTTAACGATTTAATGTGCAAAACCTTTTAGTTATCTCATGACACTTTTCATATAGTGCCAGGCTGTGTACTATTACAAAAGCTCTGCTAATATAAAATACTAGCTTGTAACAATTATGTTATCTGTGAACATGATTGAATGATGAGTAATAATATGGATATAACCAATACTTATGACTGAATGACAGAAGCTGTAGTAGAAACATGGCCGACCTTTATGATGGCCACAGTGGGTGTTAAACAGTTGGTGTTGGGCAGGGGATTCAGGAGAGAAATGTACCGGTATTAACTCCCAAAAGGCCGATTATCCCCTCGGTGTTGGCGTGTCTCTCCCAGGCGCTTCGACGTGCAGCCGCTGTGCGGTGACTTGCAGAGTCAGATTTTGAAATGCTACAAGGACAACGCGGGGAAGACCCTGTCGTGCTCGAGCATCGCCTCGGCCTACATGCAGTGTGTGGACAACGCCAAGAAGGTGCAGCTGCAAACAGTCTTCACTGCTCGTAACGCGGGTTCATGGTCCGTCGTTTCAACGTGTTTCTCCCTTCTGTGTACAGAATAAATTGAGCCCCGGAGGGTAATAATGTCGACCACTTCAACATCTGGAAGCCTCACTGCTGCAGCAAAGAAAGGTGGACCGACAGAATTCAACAAATAGGTCCTGCTTTTACACACTCCTGGGGAAAAGGGCCACATCGGCACCCTAGTAACCGGTTCTGGTCGTGGTAATGTTATATTTTCAACCTCTCTTAGTCTCGGGATTCATCTTAAGAACCAGATATGCAACAAAAAAATCTATACATACATACATACATTAAATGAAATCAATATGTTTGTGTGCCTTGAAGTTCTGAAAGCTAATAATCAGATTTCAGAGGTGAAGTGACGAAGACCTGCACGAGGTTATTGGTTTTGTAAATAAGGTTTTTCAATTGTTTGTTTTTCTGGTGCATGCAATGCAAATTAAATCAATCTAAATAAACTTTGTTGTAGAATTCCATAATGGCTCATGTGTTCCAGGAAATTGTAAGCACATTCTTAGTTCATTCACAAAACAACAACTTTATAACTTTGATGAATGCATGCTTTGCTCAAAGTGTTCCTTGGCCTTCATGTCCTAAAACTTGCATATCTGACACTGTGATTTGTCGTTGCTGTTCAACACCAGCCAATATTATTTATTATACTCGATCCTGGGAGGTAGAGTCGTGCTCTGTGCACAGCATTTTCACGAGATGATGTTCAAAACAACATTATGTGTTCTACAAGGGCTTTTTAAAAGTATTTTGCCGTCGTAATGAAGCACTTATTAGTGCAAGTGCATTACTGGGTACATGTCCATGAAGATGGAACACTGCATACATGAACAATTTAAACTGGGAACTGTTGAGTGTTCAACAGTGAGACTTCACAAACTGATGCTGGACTCTTAAATTTGAATCGTTTAACTATAAATGATTTTTTTAGAGAAAAGTATTAATTCTATCTAAATAATGTTTTATTTTATTTTGAACAAATCCATCAGAGCTGAAGACCTGTTCCGTTCATGAACCATAAGCCATTGCTCTGTGAGGGCGCCTCTTGCCTGTGTTGAAAGCCAGTGGCTAAAGAATGAGTGAGTGCAGTATCACAATCTGTCCACCGGGTGGAGACAAAGACTCTTATTTCATGGAATGCTTGAGGGCCTCAAATCAAACAGCACAGCTTTGGTATGAAGCAGAGAAAGGTGGTGAAAATAAGACCAAACATAAAGCAACTTGTACAAGAAAAAGGGAAGTTCAGATCCTGTATTTATGTCGGCCGTAAGTAGGCTAAATATACACTACACTAGGAAGAAATAATACAATAATAAGCACCAACTTTTTTTTTTTTTACTTCTTTTCATGACATTTTTCCACCTTACATATCTTGACCTAATTTTTTTTTGTCTTTTTTAAATTCCATGACATTTTAGACACAACGTATTCCCCAACGTCAGAGGAGACCGTATTTGCTAATTATGCTCAATTAAATAACTAATTGTTTTTGTTGGTATCCAGAATTCATGGATTGATCACTAACTTGATCAATTTTAAATTCATATGCAAAGTTAACTTAAAGCTGCTATCTTTATAACCACATATATATCTCAATATTTTATTGCATTGTGTCAGATATTCCTGGTCTACAGAGGAAGTCACTCTCAAGAGCTGTGACCAACACAGACTGTTCACTCCCAAACTACAAAGTTACCAAGTAAACCGTTCAGCTGCTAAAGAAACAGACCTGTTTGTTGTGATTGGTAAAGACTGATGAAATGATATTCATCAGTTGGATAAAACACAACTCCGACGTGATGCTAATGTTGCTACGCGTCTGCTAGATATAAACCGTTCACCTGTTGTGTTAACACGAACGTCTTCACCATTTACTTTTCATGCCAATGTCATGCTTGTTTCTGCTTCCCTCGAGTGGCCACAAATCCCTCCTTAATGCACGTCTAATAATAACCTTTGCTCAGGCGGTCGTGCCGCTCCCTTCCTGCTCCCACGTCCACGTTCACGGTGCAAGATCATCTGACCCTCCAGATTAAAGTCAGGAGGAAGGAAGATACTCTCCGTGTTGTTAAAGAAGGGACTGGGTGTGCAGGGCCTGTGTGTCGATTTGCTCTGGGTGGGGGGTTGGGGGTTGGGGGGGGGGGGTTAACTGGTTGCTATCTGGCCTCGTCTTCCTCCTCCTATCTGCTTTGGCTGTCAGTGCTGAGAGGTGGTTTGTGTTCAGTTGGGAACATGAGCATCAACCTTTCCCTGCACCACATTTCTGGGTCCACACTGCAGGGAAGCAGCCAGCCAAAGCTTTTATGGATCCACGAGTCAGAGCAGAAGTCCTGAGGTTTGACACTTGAGTCTTGATTGTCCTTTGCCACAGAAGATAACCTAACAAACAGAAAGAATATGTAAAATAGAAAAATATGTTGGTCCAATGTTGCTTTATTTTCTATCTGAGTGAGCAGTTTTTGGAAACGATACAACCTCAACATTCTGAATTTCCAGAGGTGTTGTTGCAGTAACAGTGAACTCAGCCTGATTTTCCTGCCCTTGCTGTGTTTGAGATGATAGCAGTCTGACAAAGTAACAAGAATAAACTGTGGGTGGTCAGATTGTAACCTTATCACCTACTCAATGTTTTGAGAAATAACACAGAATAATAAATATTGAACAGATATCACATCACAGCTTATCATCAGAATAAAAAGAACACAAAGGGCACATTGCTCCTTTGTGTGAAAGCTATTCAACTCTTATCTTGTTGGTTTGGGAGGTTTGCATGTGGCTTTGCTGAAAAAAACAAAACAATGCAATGAAGCTGCAGGGCGGCATGCACATCATATGAATCATAACTTTATTGAAACATGAAGATCCAAGCTCCTCACACATACTGTGTGTGTCATTGGCTGCTTTTAGCTGATATTTGAAGGGTTTATGCAGCCCTGTCCTTTCTGTGCTGGCGCTATGGTGACAGTTCCCAAGGACGCCTCTGGAGATTGCCGACTACTCACGTAGGCTTGTTACGTAATGCCGTTTTTTTTGTGCGGATTTATCTGACGGCTTTGTTGCCTGCTGAACCCGAGGGAGAGAGTATGACCCCTCCTAATAAATTAGCAAAGCAGGTCCTGTACACAGTGTGTGCAGCACAATCGACCTGTAATGCACAAAGACACACACACAGCCGTGCTACACTGACTTCTTTGCAACCTGGATTGTGTATTTGTTTTCAGCATATATTTCAAATATTCTCTTCACATCCCTCTTGTCTGCATCATATCACTCCTATGACACCCTTTAGCAATCACTCACCCTGACTGTCACACACACACACGAGTAAACAGCACTCTTATGTTTGTGACTGAATAGGAAACTATAGAGCCCACCCTTATATTTCCTTTGCAATGCAATAAAAGTTGGTGTAAAAACAACCAAGGGTTGTTTCAGGGAGGGCTTCGTGCAGCAGAGTTGTTTCGTAGCGAGGTGCAGTGACTTCCTGAAGTCTGTGCAGGTTGCCTGGCAACCTCTCGTCATGTCACAGAGTATATTTATGTACTTTATGACAAGACATAACCTGTTAATCAGCGAGCTTTATGGGAGCTGATTAACAGGTTAATACCTTTCAACAAAGGCAGGGTAAGCTAAGCTAACCAGCCGCTAATACAGACAAATATGACATGAGAAAAGTAGCCTACTTTCAGTCATTTTCAGTATCTGGCTCTTAAGAGCCGAGTTTCCCTCTGGTTCGGGGACCTATGAGGAAGGTCAGGATGTTGGTAAAGTGGATGCGAGCCGAATGTGGGACTGTGGCCCTCTGGAGCCACAGTGCTGGATGACTAACAGCAGGATGAAAGGGTAGAAGTTGTCGTTTCATAGTGATGATGAGGAGGGGGTCATGTGACTCAGCCCTCACAGTACTTCGGATGAAAGGAGCGACTCAGCGTGCGGTCAGCTGACTCAGCGTAGAGAACGGATACTGGGAAAGGAAGCACGTGCTGGATGGTGGGTAATTGGGAGGTGGGGGGGCTTATGTTCGCATGTGTATGAGTGCCTCAGGCTTTTGGTGTTTGTCCCATTTCCCGACACACCAGAGGAATGCAGGGGGACATTCCTGCTAAGTGAGTCGTGCCCTCTCACCTTCCATCACGGATACAATTTCATCTTTCCTGTCTCCCCTTCAGCCGGGGGGCTTCCCAGTCCATTCATGGAGGTACACACAGTCACAGCGTTTGTGTAAGCTGTGTTGTTCTGGCAATAATTGGCTGAACAAGATAATGTTTTGTCATTTAAAGGAGAGTTTGATCCGGTCAGGGGACACATGGGGAATTGCACAGCAATTTAGAGCTGGTTGCTTACTAGCAAGGAGGAAATAAATCAGGAAGAATATGTGGGTGAGGTGTGTAAATGGAGTAAATGGCTTGTGTTGGCCAGAAGAAGCATGCTTTGTCATGCTGGGTAATGTTTGCATGTGGGTTTGGGAGAGAGAGAGAGCGAGAGAGACTTTTCATTTAGTGTGGTTTATGTTCCAAATACTTAAAATCATTCATATATCTGCTTTTTACATCCTCAGAACCCTAAATACGGATATTAATACAGGTCTGACTTTTGTGTGTGTGTGTGGGTGTGTGCGTGTGACTCACAATTACAATGATTACTCTGGCAGAACAGTTGGATGAACAGCTCACGCTGACTGTAAAGAACAGAGAGAAAGAGAGAGGGAGAGAGGGAGAGAGGGAGAGAGAAGCTGTGCTCCTCTGGCATCTCCATCTCATAACTCGTCTGCTGCTCGGTGTGTTCACACACACACTCAGACATCTACAGCAGGATTCTCTTCTTCAGTGTCTCCGGGGAGGAAAAAAACCCTTGTGCGGTAGGTGACGGATGATTTGCAACAGGCTTGTGTTCTTATGAGGACAAACATGCTTATCTGACCTGCATTCTCTTCCTGCTTCGCAACTTAATCACGTACTGTTTTATGGGGCGTTACAGAAAGTGAAGAAGCAGTTTCACTTTCTGTCTACTTTGGAGCCACAGTCGGTGAAGCCTGTCTTGGAAAACTGGTTGGGGTTCAAATGTATTTCTCTTGGGTATTTAATTGGAAAATGTCTCACGTGTCGAAGATGTACACCTTCGTTTGAATTGAAGGTGAGGAAATGAATCTGCAATCTTTTCAGGAGGAGGTCCAGCACGAAGAAGGTTTGTTCTCAGAGTTACTATCTCGGGATCTGGAATGCAGAGGCACGGACTCTCAGATGTCGTCCCGTCTCTTCTCGGAGAATCACTGGTCTCAAGTCTCTAGAATCCCCTGCTTACTCATCGTCCAACAACAGATACGGGGACATTTATCGCCTTATTTTGCTAAAAGTAATTCCGTTCCTGCCTTTGTCTTGTGGACGGGCAGAGGAGGTGTATGATATCGTCAACAGGAGACTCTTTGCAGCTGCCTCTTCAAAAAGAAAAAAATATATTTTTATGACTCACAAGCACGATTGCTTTCAGTACGGTCGTGTAGTCACATGGCGCCGATGTCACAGTTTGAGTGTTGACATCAGAGACTGTTTGTGGAAAATGTGGCAGCTGACTCAGTTTAGTGTCCTGTTCTGAAAGACAGTTTGGGTTTCTGAATTTACCAGCGTCACTCCTCTTAATGAAATATTCCCTTATGGAGAGTTATGTTAAAATAACATTAGTTAGTTTAAGAGCTTCAGACTGAGCCAGGCTACCTGCGGTTATATTATATTTCCTAAAATGTTAAACTACTCCTTTAAACCGAAGGAAGCAGGACTTCTATGATAATGTTAATATGTGTCTACACCTGTGAAAAGAATACTGTTCTTTGAAAGTAAATGATCCCAGCATGGTCATTCTCTTCTTGATTGCAAATCATTACGTGCCGTCTCGGAGACTAAATGCTTCGAATAAGTCTTCTCCCAGTGTGGGTGACTCTGGTTCCAATCACCTGCTGAACTTAAAACTGCTCAGATCTTTCAATAAATACTTCAGGAACCTGGATGTCCATTCTTCTTTGCCTGGGTTGACAAGCCTCCGTGTTTATGCCGTGATGGTGGAGACCTTTCCGCTCTTTCCTTCGTTATCTTGCTGCCCCACAAGCACACGACTGGACATATTCACGGGGTTATTTTGCATGAGGATTCAACCAGAGACAAAAATGTTAGAAATGCAGAGGGATACAGTGATGACTAGTTTCATTGGATGTGTCTCAGTCGTGGCCTGAGTTCGGTGATGCAGAGCATTTAGTTTCATTTCCTTTCACTTAAATGATCCAGGGTTCTTTTGGTGTGATCCGACAAACCTCATCCTTTACTAAACACATGATTTATGCAGTATTTTTGTGTTTATCTAGACGGGATTCGGCCCGTGAACGTGGTGGGAAGGAGGGGGAAGAGGAGGTGTGATGAACAGTGTGTCATAAGATAAACCTTCACCCCCTTCTGCTCCTGTTCAAATGAAGCCATCTGGAAACAGTCATGAGTCACAGCATTATTATTAGACCTGATAGACCTGGTACCTTTAGGTTGTACATTTCATTTCACAGAGTTTCCACAGCTCCGACCATCATGCATTCGTTTCTTCATCTTCGCCTTCCTTCACATTACTTCTTCTTTCACATATTAAGGTTTTAATTTATCAATGCTTACCAATAATAAATGTCATCGTAATCAAAAGAGAATTTTCCCACTGAAGTATCCCGATGTACAACAGAAACTTTATATGATTGTTTCAATGTGATGAGTTTGGCCTCTTTAGGTGCAATACCGGGAGACACGAGGGGTTTCCCTTTGAACTTAGTGGGACCACTGGTTTGCCTACATGGCTTTCAGTGTCCAGCCTCCATCCCAAAACAACACACTGGACCTACACCTGCATCCAATCTGCAGCAGGAAGCTTACAAGTTCATCTGTCGCAATATCAAAGCTATCTTCTCCATGTCCAACATGGCTTGTATTGCATGTCTCAAGCACAATGCACTGTCTATAAAAACAACGGACTGCACTCGGAAACTGATTTCATTGGGTGAGGTAGATGTTTGTACCCCGTCTCTAGCACCATATGAAATCAGTGTTCCTGGAAGTGGATCATCAGCACGTACAGACGCTCAGAAACTGAAGTGTGATGAAGTTTTCATAATGCCACAAAGTACGGAGAGAAGTCCATTCTCCGGATTACTCTTCATCCCAACGGGGAACAGCTGCTTGTCTGCTTCCTGGAAACTCTTTTTTTTCTCCCTTTGTGTCTGACTCAAACATTCTTTTCTCATCAATGCAATTTCAGTGGTCAATTCCGGAATCGTTATCTTTGTTTAAAGACAAAATGAGTCTGATTCTCCTGAAATAAACTATGTATAGACTCATGCCAAAACAATCCCTCTCAATGATTCCTAACCGTGTGGCAATGCCCGTCCTCTGCCTGTGCTGCCTTTTCTTTTCCTTTGTTCCAGGTGCCAGCACATTACCACGTATCTCCCATCAGATGTAGTCTTGGAGTGTTTTCATATGAACAACTGAGGACAAGCTCTTCATTGCTGAAAGAGGGCAAAGTGCGGATACTCCTCCATGCCATCGAAATGAATGGAACATACTCAGAAATGGTCTTTACCTCCATACAATGATCTTTTGTTTTAGGAAATGTGCTATTTAGATTTGATCAAATAATTGAGGCATGGCTACTTTTTGAGGCAAACTATTTTTCCTTTGTACATTTATAAAATACTGGAATAAACTTGTAGTTTTGGGAAATAATTCCTTGATGCATACAGAACATCTTAACTAAAGGAGAATCTTCTGCCAGTCCAGTCGGGAAAGGTAGAAGGTTTAGTTGAGTTTAGTTGATCGATAGGAGAAAAGTCATCCTAGTATACTTCTGGGCCCACATCTGCCTCCAAGGTTCCCACACCAGAGAAGAGATTGGCTGGATTGATGCTTTCAGACTGTGATTCTTCTAAATTGGTGGAACGCCATAACCAACTTCTCACACTGTTTGCTTTAATTTGCGGGTTCGAGGGATATACCAAAGAGCGAACGTTACTGTTCACCTTTCTAGAGAAGCAACGGCGTCACTCTTAAAGCGCTTGTAGCACTATCGAGGATCCATCCTCCCTCACTCGTGAACAAAACCCTGAGAGTAATTTTCTTACGGTATTTATTTCCTCCATTACATCCATTTGGGTCTTGATGAGGCTTTCAAACAGTTGCCTCTTTCATCTGTGACAGAATTATTAAGGCATGACCGAAAGAACTAGGTCACGGGTAGGAAAATGGGTTTCCTCAGGAGAGTGGCTGGCGTCTCCCTTAGGGATCGGGTGAGAAGCTCAGCCATTCGCGAGGAGCTCGGAGTAGAGCCGCTGCTCCTTTGCGTCGAAAGGAGCCAGTTGAGGTGGTTTGGGCATCTGGTGAGGATGCCTCCCTAGGGAGGTGTTCCAGGCACGGCCAGTTGGAAAGAGGCCCCGGGGAAGACCCAGGACTAGGTGGTGCACTGACCTGGGAACGCCTTGGGATCCCCCAGTCAGAGCTGGTAGATGTGGCCCGGGAAAAGGAAGTTTGGGGTCCCCTGCTGGAGCTGTTGCCCCCGCGACCCGACCCCGGATAAGCGGCTGAAGATGGACGGATGGATGGATATATATCATATATCCATGTGTTTGTTGGATTGTGTTTGTCCCAGGCAACTATATAAATGCACACAAACTGCATGGTTTTTGTACAATACATAGTAATAAAAGATTCTATTTCTATGCTACATGTCTTATTCTGCATAAGGAGACGTTTCAAAATGCCACCCTGACTTTGCGAGGACACCATAGCAGTTTTATTTAGCCTTTGGGTACGATTAAAGTGGAATGGATGGTCATATCCCGCAAACACATCTCTACAGTATCTTCAAATGGTTGAAACATTTGACTGCTTTCCTCCCTTCAGAGACAGATCTAATATAAACTAATTGTTGGCACAAGCAAGGAACACATAGCTTTAAATAGAGAGAACATGATGCGTAACAGAGAAACATAACATGTAAATAATGGAAACATAAAAAATACATAACAGAGGAAATACGTGGAGACATGAAAAGAGACAATCCAGTTTTTTCTTTCTGTTTTGAGACATTTTGAGGGTTAATCATTTTCTGCTGAGTCAGTAATTGATTTAATGTCTTTGTTCTCCCAAACCCTGAAAAAGTGTGAGGAAAGATGTATGCATTAATAACAAAAAAACATATATAAAAACCTTGTTCCACTGCCAATATAACATCCATTTTCGTAGGTATCATTAAACGTATTGGGCTCAGGAAAATGTGAATTTATACATTGTTATCAGTCTAATGCACAGAAGAACATCTTTTAATTCAAGGTGGGCCAGTTGTAAATGTTCTACCAAGTCTAAACACTGAATTAAATGTGTAGTTTTTATGCAAACCACTGTCGGTAGCTATTGTCATTATTGTTATGATTATTATAAGTACGTTATTATATATTCTACCGTTGGCTTGTTGTCCGTTATTCCCACCGGTAACAAACACAATGTATGCATGATACATTGGTCCGTGTAGGACCTACATTCAAGGTCCTTTTAGTCACACTGGCCACTCCCACCTCATGGTATCGCAGCAACGGAGCTCTGAGCCCTCTCCTGATTGGTCCATTTCCAAGAATCCGCCATATTCAAACTTCCGCCGTGGTGTGTGTTCTGTTGTCACCGATCTTCTGCTTTCTTTGTACACATCGGGCCGTTTTTCATCCGACTGAGCTCTGTTTTCGTTCGTTTAGCCATAAATATCTTAGTAAAAACTGATCTCGAAACGAGGCCTCCTGCCAAATGGAAGAAAATGAAGAAGTTCGAGGGTGGACGGTGGGAAAGAAGAAGCCGATACTTCGCAGGATGTCATCGAGGACGTCCACCACCAGTGTCACTAGCGCCGCGGAGCCCTCTCCGCAGCCACACCGGATAAACCCCAAGAAGTAAGAAACGTTAGATCACGTGAAATAAATGTGATAACGTTTTATGTCATTATTTGGGTATTTATTTGGAAGCTGGTGTTGTGATATTAAACGCTTTTAGCACCTCTCGAGCTAACGTTGGTTAGCATGCTGTGACGGGCAGGGCTGTTATTGTAACTGGCACATGATGCCTTCATGGCCACCTCGGAACTCATAAAGCGTTATTTGCTATTTGTTAGACAGCGTGTGGCGGCTGTATATGTGAAGGTAAGCTGTACGTTATAAGACAATGAACGGCTAGTTTTACCTCTCTCATTTACTTTTTACTCAATCTGCGTAAATCTTCATCGTGCAATCTGCTGGTTAACGTTATGAATACATTTGTGTAACTACAACTATAAATACGAATGGACAGATGATCCATTATGGCTGCAACTAATTCACGTTAATATTTGTAATATTGATTAATCTGTGGATTATAAAATAGGTTTTGAGTAATTGTATACTTCATAATACCTAATACTAGTATCTCTTTACCAAAACGCTAAAACGTAATGGTATTCCATTTACAATGATGTGAAAAAAGAAAAGATGGAATCAGTAATTACTAGATAATAGAGTTCAGAAAATACTTTTTATTAGCTTTAATTACATTGCTGAATTCCAAGAGTGAAGCAATTTCTGATTACTAAAAACGTAACGACGTGGCTTCCAGATGAATGCAACTACCAATATATTTCATCCTTTCCTCTGGTCTTTCACTGATCTCTCATAATTCTGTTATTTTCAACATGACTGAAAGGCAGAGTGTAAGCAGCACAGTGTGTTCTTCTGACTTCGGCCTTGAAAACACCCGTAGGCGGTCATTCACCAAGAAGAAGACATTGTAACTCTGCAGCTGGATTGTTTTGTCCATAACTGAGTTTTATTCTGCTGCAGGGGAGAACGGCCCGGTTCCTTATATGGTTATTATTAACCGCCCTCCGTCAACATCGACAGCGTTGACATGACTTGAAACACAACAGTGACTGAAGCAAAAATGGCAGAAGCCATTCATCATGTACATCAAATGTTACCAAAGCTGAAATGCTCCTCAGTTGGTGTGCTGTTAGTGGTGTATTTCAGTCTGCAAGTATGATCAGATCCTTTCCGTTTCTTTATCAGTAGAAGACGAAGAAACATCTTCAGCAGAGTAGTGGGCAGTCTCTCAGGGATGAAGTCGATATAAACTTGTTGTGGATGATCAACTCTTATGCGTTGCATTTCCCTCAGACCTCCTCTGCAGAGAGGCAGCTCCTTCACCTTCCGCACTCCTGGGACTCCGTGGGACTTCAGCCTCGTGAGTTAATAATGAAAACACAACACCATGTTGTTTGCTTGCAGCGTTCGCATCCATCCACATGACTGTTTATTCATATTTTTATAAAAGATGTATAAAATGTACAGACTCGTAAAACCACTTTGTATTCTCATGTTTCTACAGAAGAGAAAGCGCAAAGAGAAGGAGGATGACACAGTCAGTCTGTCCAGCTTCGACCTCAAGGTGAGAGTCCAACTGTCTGCTTCGTGCAGGTGTAATGTTGCACGCTTTAACGCGTCCTCACAACAAACTTTTAATCCTTCTGCATGACTCAGGTACACAAGCGGACAGCCGTGAGTGCGCCTGTGTGTTGTGAGCTCTGGATAATCCCAATGCGCCTGGCGCAAGCGTCTGTTTGAGGAAATGATAACGGCGACACAAAATCTGATCCATATTGCCCTCCAGTGTTATCACAGACTCTTGGCTCAGCGAAAGGGGTTTAATACCTTTCTCTAACATCGACAACTTGGAGATCCCTTTTGATAACGCGACATCCAGCTTACTTAAAAGTCAACTGTGGCAATTTTTGACCTGGTTTAGAGGGGTTTCTCTGTAGCAGAGGTGTCAAAAGTATTCACATTCATTACTCAAGTAGAAGTACAGATACTAGCGTTAAAGAAGACTCCTGTAGAAGTTGAAGTATCGACTCAAGCTTTTTACTTAAGTAAAAGTATAAAAGTACGGGTTTCAAAACTACTTAAAGTATAAAAGTAATGTAAGAAATTCCATTAAGGACAAACTCTTAATGCGTAACCTCGCTCACACAACACGTCAGTCCGTTACAATGTGATCAGAAGGCGTCTGCAGATCACGTGACCTGCCGTTGGGATGGTGGAAACATGGCGACATTCAGAGACACAACAAAACAACACGTGTATCTGACCTAAACAGATAAAACCACAACCCATTTTCCAGTGACACGAGTCAGAGGGCGGACACACACGTTGTTCGCATTGATGAGGTAGACTGCAGTGTCTCCCCCAGGTTTACTACGTCAGGGGGGGGGGGGGTGGGGCACCCTGTTTATAATGTTGGGAAACACTGAACTGGCAGCGGTCGGTTATTAAACATGGGCCAAATAACCAGTATGTTCAGGCTTCATGAGCAAATACAGAATCCCTGTGTTCATTTGCAAAGCCGCATTAAGACACACATCACTTTATTTAATACGCTGCTTGCAAGTCGCTGTGTGCCACTCTCAATAAAACATTTAGGACAAACCCACGGTCACGAAGATGCTTTAACGTTACGTGAGGAAGAGGAGGAGGAGGAAGAGGAGGCGGGTCCATGTCGATAAATACCAACTTCCCGCCACTTTTCCCACCCGGTGTCGCTCCGATCTGCCGGCGCATCGCGGAGAAAACCAATCGGGTGTCTGGATGCTAAATGTTTATACTTCTCATCCAATCAAATGCACTGTCCTGATAGCGCCATTTCTCTGGATGGGGTTTTTTTGTGTGTGTGTTTTTGAACTGCGACAAGCTGGAAGTAACGAGGCTGTTTTTGTAAATGTAAGGAGTAGAAAGTACAGATATTTGCCTGAAAATGTAAGGAGTAGAAGTAAAAAGTCGTCTGAAAAATAAATACTCCAGTAAAGTATAGATACCCCAAATTTCTACGTAAGTACAGTAACGAAGTATTTGTACTTTGTTACCTGACACCTCTGCTCTGTAGTTTAAATGAGTTTTTATCAGGCTTTCAACAAAATTACAGCCATGTTTTTAACAATGCCTTAGTATTCAATACTACGATCTACACATCAACACTGACACATTAGGCTGAAAACAATTTATTTCCTTGATTGCCAGGAACCCAGTACCAAGCGTAACCGCCCCCTGGCTAAAGTTTCATCGCTCGTCAACTTGATCTCTCCATCAAAGAATGGAGCGGTGCGGCGCTTTGGTCAGACCATCCAGGTAAATGCGGCACTCTCGTGGCGCCCCCTCTACAAACTTGCATTGTAGTGATTTAAACGTTTCTTTTCTACCGTAAAATAATGTATTGTTTTCCTCGTCTCAGTCAATGTCACGTGGCGACAGCAAGTCACCAGGGACGTCCCTCAAAGCCGGCAGCAAGACAGCGGGTCCCACTCCCACCAAACGCAGAAACAGCACGCTGTGGTCAGAGACACTGGATGTCCATCAGAAGAGCACCTTCTCTACCAAAGAAATCAAGAGACAAGAGGTTCTGCATATGTTGCATTGCTGTAAACATTACAGCACAGCCATCTCAGAAGTCTGTAGCGCAGAAAAAAGTAACTCATCCTGCTGGGGTTTCGTTTTCAGGCAATTTATGAGCTTTTCAGGGGAGAGCAAGATCTCATAGAGGATCTCCAACTTGCACGAAAGGTTAGAAATGCCTCATTTAATATTATACAAGAAAACAAATGCATTTATTCCCCCATTTATCAACCTTCTTTTGTGCTCACAATGCTGCTTTTTCTCCCAATTAGGCATACCACGATCCCATGTTAAAACTCTCCTACATGACCGAGGAAGAATTGGCTCACATATTCGGGGACCTGTATGCATACATCCCCTTACACGAGGGTAATTTACCACCAAACAAACGGCCTCTTATATTAAAACTGGCTTGAGCCTTCGATCACAGGAGGTCATTTCAAAGGGCTTTACGGGCTTTACAAGAACACTATTACAGTATTATTCAGGCTTACTGTATGAAAGTAAAGTGTTTCTGACTATGTATTTGCTTTTTAAACACTCTGCAGATTTACTGATGAAACTGACGGAGGGAACTGGCCCCGATGGAACAGTAGCGCAGATTGGACAGATAGTCATTGACTGGGTGGGTGTTGAAGACTACTTAACACACATTAGCATCAAATGTTTCAAAAATGTCAGCAACGCGAAGAGATGTAACTTTTATCATATGTTTTCAGCTGCCTGGTCTGAACGCTTACAAAGGCTATTGTAGCAATCAGCTGGCGGCAAAAGCCCTGCTGGACCAGAAAAAGCAGGACAAGCGCGTCCAGGACTTCCTGCAGCGGTGCCTGGAGTCGCCATTCAGTAGGAAGCTGGATCTTTGTAGCTTCCTCGACATCCCGCGGTCACGCCTCGTGAAATACCCGCTGCTGCTGCGAGAGATCCTCAAACACACTCCTGCCGAACACCCAGACATCCCCAGCCTGGAGAGAGCTGTATGTTATCCAAATGACATGTATTTGCAGTCACAGATTCGTATTAAGCTGTGATTATGTGGTCTTGTGTGTGACAAATTAGCACCTGATCATTCTTTCTTTAATTCTCCAGATCACCATAATCCAGGAGATTCTGTCTGATATCAATGTGAGAAAGGGGGAGTCTGAGTGTCAGTATTACATAGACAAACTGGAGTATCTGGATGATAAGCAACGGGACCCTCTCATTGATAACTGTAAGATTCTACTTTGTCACGGCGAGCTGCGGAACAAAAGTGGCTCGGTGAGAATTCGGATTCCTCTCTCTATTATTACCATCTAAATACATTGTGTCTCTGTTTTATCGTTTTATATTATTGGGTTTCTTCACAGAGGCTCCATGTGTTCCTCTTCTCCGAGCTGTTGGTTCTGACCCGGCCAGTGACCCGGAATGACAGGAGCTGCTTCCAGGTTTATCGACAACCCATCCCTATTCGGGATTTGTCTCTGGAGGACCTGCAGGATGGAGAGATCCGCATGGGGGGCTCCTTCAGAGGGGCTTTCACCAATGGCGAGAAAGGTGGGTTGGGTCGATTTGAGTTGAGCTTCACCTGCTGGCAGAGTGGCCGAGGCATGTTGCATCAGCCATTTATTAAGTGATGGAATGTTTTATTTATACAGCAAAATCCAGGAAAAGTTTTTGATTGAAAGCCAATCTGAGATTTTGCTTACTTTGTATTGAAAACAATCTAATTACAACAATCATTCGTTGCTGCCTTAACATTGGACTAGGGTTACAAATAAGCAATCCAGAAAGAACTTCATACCCTCAAAATGCGCCTCACAAATGTTATAATAGTGTTTCCCCTCCCTACCATTATAACCTGTGAAAGAGTGTGCAATTTAAAAAAAAAAATGTTATTTTTAAATCCTTTTTTGTTGTTATTTTTCCACGCACGGCTGTTCCACACTGACATGAATATGTCCGTATGAGCTCCAGAGTGACTACTATTACCCCCCCTCCCCTCCTGTAGTTGTAAATCTAGGGGAAACACTGTATAATAATTTTGATATTATGAAAATATTTTGAATGTAACTGTATTTCCACCACAGTACCTAGAATACTGCTTCTCACGGCATAGCAACGTAAACTTGTGTATGCCTTAATGTTCAACTTTGTACACATTTAATCCAGTCCAAATTTCCCAAAACTGACGTTTTGATTAAAAGAAAGTATTTAATTTAGGTCACATTTACATCCTTGTATGCCAAGCATCACGGCAGTATCTGCGTCAGAAACGTGTCTTTGGGTGCTTTTGGGACATGTGAGTTTCAGTTCTTTTTTGTGGGGAAAGAAGAACATGTCCTGGTGCGTGATCAGAGTTTGTAAATCCTGTTATTGGAGGACCATGGCAGTAGATTTTTGCATCCCACACATGGCTGCTTGTTGTTCAGCGGACTGTATCTCTTTTCTTTCTGTCCCTCTAGCCAAGAATGTTTTTCGTGTGAGCTCTGTGGATCCCTCCCATGGCCAGTCCCACACCCTGCATGTCAACGATGTCTACCACAAGCAGCAGTGGCTCAACTGTCTACGCAGTGCAATGGCCCTCCAACAGGAAGCTCCACTCGGCGCTCAGCAGGAAGGAGCCAGAAGAGCCAAGCGTCGCTCCTCCACCATCTCAGTCACCATCTGTGACGAGGAGACGGATGAGAACTGCCCGCCCGTCTGTGGCCCTAAACTCAGGCCTCAGACGCTCTCCAAAACCAGATTGAACCAGAAGTTACAAGGCTCACTAAAGAGGAAGGAGACTGGAGTGTAGACATTGAGCACAGCACCTGGTTCCTGTTAAACAGAGATGAAACAAGAGTCCTGTGAAACAAGAGTCCAGTTTTGTCTCGTCTGTCAGTGAATTTCCATGCAACCACTGTTTTTGTGCTTTTGCTTTCATTGTAGCCGCACTGAAAAGGTCTCTTCAATCATATCCGTCCAAATGTATTGTAAAAATTATAGTCTTTGAAAAGTGTTATTAGTTTACAAAACAAAAAAAAACAATGTGTCAGTGTTACTGAAATATGTTTATACCAGATAATTGTGTGTGGAATTCCATTGGATTCTATTTCTATTTACATGTTACATGAACAGCTTCATACCACTTGTAGTTCCTGAAATTGAGTTTCAACCTCTCATCTAGTGTCAACACATCTTTCTGCTGAAAATGTCAATTCATACAAGTGTATAGTTGTAAGTGCTATCGGTGCCAAGATAAGGGATCAGGGAACTAAGACACTGATGGCCGCAGCTTTCTGTGCAGCAAGCCTTTGCGCAAGAGAACTTCAGCTTTTTTGAGATGAGGTGCAAGATTATGAGCTGAACATTTATACAAACACTGATGATGAACACGATTAAAACGTATCTTGGAAAATGTAGATGTATTCGGAGAAAAACTGTTGAACGGAAAATGATAAAGCATTTAGTTTGTACACTCAATGGCTCCTGAGTATACTATACTGAGATATCTACATAAAATCGGATACATTTTTTACCAATTGATACGGCCGCTGCCCGTACAAAAGACCCACTGTTCTAAGCGGCAGTTGGGACATGCTGTTTTGTCATAACGCTGCACCTTGAACTTTGACCCTCGTGCTCATTACATCAACCGCCAGAGCTAGTGCAACAGAATAACCAGAAAAGCCTGCTGACACGCCTCACTGCAGAATGTGAACTGTCAGTTGGACTCCCTGGTACTTTAGGCATATTGCGTTTAGCACAAGATGTCTCTGTAATTTTCTTTTACTGTTGGCGTAACAGTTTGTTGCAAGTTGGGTCAAGTAAACGAGCTGAGAAAAACTTTAGTGTGTTAACTTTCTCTCAATGTCTTGAAAGTCAACATATTTTATAGCATATAGTTTTGTTATATTTTTCATTTCACAATGATACCGTTGTAAAACCCACTTGTCGATGTATGATCTGCAAAATCATTAAGAGAGCTTCCTTTATTATTATTATATTACAAGTAAACTATATCGAACTTTCTGTTCTAGTTTGAACCTGCTGTAGGCTAATGATTGTCAACAGTAACTCGCAAAGACTTCTGATAAGGGAGATGCACAAAGTAATAAAGCATTTATCTTTTTAAAATCCACACCGGCAACAAAATGAGTTTCACTGAGGTAAAAGCAGTTGAGGAACCAAAACTAAGTTTCACAAAGAGGAACTAACGCTTGACTTAATTATATCAAAGGAGACAAACCTCCAATTCTAGTTCTCTTATATGAAGAAATGATATGTAGAATTATATTAACCATGTTCACCAGACTGAATATGGGGTGCAGGTAAGTGGAGAACGATTAAGCTCATCCAATGAAACTAACATGTCCACCAAATGGCTGTTCCAGTTTCCTATTCCTTTATGTTTTACAACCTGCCTTCCTAAAGGTGATCAGTGGAGACAAGTGGCGGCTGTGGTTCAGGTAAATTCAAATTACGTTTTTAGGGTTTAAAACACCTCCCTCCACATACTGGGACTCTCTTTGATTCACGGAATCAATATTTGTTCATCGCCATTTGTTCAAACCATCTTTATCAGATACACATTTATGAGGCCTTCATACCCATTCAAGAAATTCTACTTGCTTTATGAAGGGCTACTATCCATCACATTTTACCACACGCCTTTTATAGATATCTATTTCTTGGCTTGCCTACTGACATTCTTACTATCTGCTTATTATCTTTGCGTTGGAGATAAATTGCCTTCAACTGACTCCATCGATTGCCCGGATATAAAAGCAGGAAGTTAAACAGGAACTACTGTCACACGGGCTGTTGCGGTTATTCCGGTCGAACAGGAAGTAACACCAAGCTAAAACTGCCAGCAGCGGTCGAGCTGCCAGTGATGTCAGTTTAAATTACTGGGTTGAACGCTTATATCCTCGAATCATTCGAGCACATTTCATTTTACATTTGACGGTGTACCGGTAGTTATTTATCTAACTTTTTGCTGGAAATGTAACGTTACTTCTACGGTAACGGTAGAAGGGGGAGGGGCCTGAAGACCGGACGTCAGAAAGACGTCATGAATCTTAATCCACCCGATGAGCCTAAATCTACCCGATTATTTAGCAGTTAACAGCTATATTTATTGGTTCATCCCGTTTAAAATAAAACGGTGTAAATCTTCGAGTGTGCTTCACTGGTTTTGTGTGTCTTCATTTAGACGAGCGTTACATTTCTAGTGACGTTTGAGGTTTTGTGAGAAAAACGCTGGTAAAGAGTCTCCGCGTATTTGGTCAAGCGGGTAGAAGGGACATTTTGAAGCATTCTGGTAGAGAAGTACCGCTGCCTTTAAATTCAGAAGTGATGACGTCAGTCGGTTTTCTGGTTCAGTTGGTCCTAGCTCGCCCTTCCTGCCCACGCCTTTGAGGCCTAATCACAGAACTTGTCCAGCCATTCCCTTTTGTATATTCACCAGCTTGGACGTAACAAAGGGTTTTAGGGAAGTCTTTTCATTTCAGTGGAGATTCCGTTGAGTTAGTTGCAGATTAGTCTGGATTGAATTACCGTACAACCACAATGTAGTTTTGAAGTGCGACGCTTCGAGGGAATATTTTTGTAAAAAGAATATTACAACCCAAACGATAAGAACCACATTTTGATACTCAGAGTTCAGCTACAAGAGAGGACACAACAGGAAAACTATTTTTCAAATAGTCCTATGGTGGTCTTTTTAGTTACACAAATTTGATAGAGGTGGAGCCATCTGTATTATTTACAAATGTACATTAAAAAGTAGTTACATAATATATACAGCGATCCAGGCGTAAAAAAATTACTTCACGTTATCAAGCAAAACTTTAGATATTATCACTGATTCAAATAATTCCAACTCTTGTGAAATTCCTCGGCTGTAAAACATAATGGGAATGCATCAAGGGCCCAACACACACACACACAAAGGTGTGGCCGACTAGACCTTTGCTCAGGGTGAAGGTGGGCCGAGATGTGCTCGTAGATATGCACAGTCACGTTATCAGATTCCAATTAGTAACAGAGGATAAAATAGCTAACAGGAGGTCTGCACACGCTTACAAAGTCCTGAAGAGTGGACAACTTGATTAATATGTGGGTTTCCACTCAGGTGTTGGTTTTTCATAGTTATTACTTAGTATTTGTCCATCAAACAGGGTGTATAGTTGAGTCTTTTAACCCCCAGGAGCAGACTTTGTTTTTGCAATCAAAGGGTTTGAATTAGAACTGAAATGTTGGACTTAATTTGCCGACCTTAAACACAACTCCATTATTTGTATACACAGGCCATTACAGGTTGGCCAGAACCTCATGGTACATGTATTGACACGTACATTTGACATCTGCTGGGCGTCTGCTGCCAAATCCAACATACGTCATAAAGTCATATGACTTTCCGGAGAGAAGTCCACAGAGTCAGCATTCAGATTTAAGAGATGCATCTCGGGTTTCTCACGGGTTATTCAATTTCAATATCTGGAGGTGGCATGTATGACAGAAACCGTATAATGCGATTGGGCAAGTTCAGTTTGGAAACAACTTCCCGGGCTCTTCTGCCGAGAGACCCTCTCACAGCCACTCTGCTGATCTGCTGTAGACTCAGAGGGGTACCTGCGGAAGAGGAAACAGCGGAGATGAGATCATCGATATAGTGACAGGATGCTCAGTGAAAATAGCAAACTTACTCTCGTAGAACTCCAGGCAGAGATAAGTAGTGGATCCCACACTGGTGTACTGGATGGCTTTTTTGTTCATGTTATCTCGGGCGTACACGTTCCCCCCAAACTCAACAAGTAGATCAATCAAGCCAACACTCTTGGTTTTGGCTGCATGATGAAGGGCCGTCTCATGTAGCTTGGCAGCATTCACATTTGCCCCTTTTGGGTTAGTAACACAAAACTGTTTGAAAAAGGAAAATACTTCTCACTTGTAGCATTTTTGTTTATTGTAAATGCATTATTTGAGCATTAATCATGATACTGCATATCATGTAAATCTCACAAACATCAGTAAATAGGTTGTTTACACATATTTTAAACAGTTGATTGATAAAGCAGTACCAAAGATGATCTTGCATTTTAGTCCCAATGACAAAAAGCACATCTTAGGTATTTTGCTGCCTTCAAATAAATATTTAAAGTACGGATATTCACAAACAAATATTCACACTTTTATTGAGAAAAATGTATATCCAGGTTTTGACCCAACAATATCTAATATGACGCAGCTGTCGGGTGCAGATGACCAACATGAACTCACCTGCTTTGAGGAGAACTTTGGCGCAGTCATAATGTTGCATTGCACAGGACACATGAAGCGGTGTACCATAGTGGCAGTCGTGGGCCTCCATGAACGCTCCGTGATCAATCATGAGCTGAACACAATCTGAATTTCCTATTGCGAGGGACGGAAAAAAATACAGTTGGAAACTCAAATGTTTCAGCTTAGTCAGAATTATTTCGATGACAGGAAGTCTCTGCTCCCTCACACAGAGGCACATGGTGTTCTGGGTCATCTGGTAATCAAGATGTTTGTGCGTCAATGTTTATAATCTCGTGGTGCATAAGATGATCGTCTACGTCCGAGGTTGATAATCACGCTTTGTTTCTGCCCAGAGCCCGCCCCCCTGTTTTAGCATGCTTATCTTTCTTCTATATATCGCCTCTCTAAACATTGGTTTAGAGCTAAATTACAGTAAATGCTCTCCAGTGGAGTAACTTTGCAAAACTGCTGGTAAATAAATCCCAGGACAGAGAATCACATTACTGGCTACAGGACTTTAACATGAATTCAAATTATCCTTGAGCTATAGCTGCTACCAGCAACATTCAGGAAGAACGCGGTCTAACGTCACGAAGTTAGAGCCTGCTTTGATGAACGTTTTATTTACTTTTCCCAGAAACGTAGCAAATTTTCACCTACATTGACACAGTATGAACACTGTTTGGAAACAGTTTGGGTAGTGCAAAACTGAGAAAGAAACAAGAGGCCTCTTGATAATGATACATGACCAAACATTCCTTTGTGATGTTGCATGTAACAAGACGCACCTCCCATACAAGCCTCGTGAAGCGGTGAGAAGGTAAACAGTGGAGGATTAACTGTTGCTCTGTACTCCAACAGCAGCTTGACACATTCAACGCTACCTGCTGCACAGGCATCGCACAGGGGCGTGCTTCCATCGATGTTACGCGCATCCACCTGGAGGACACAAAGCCTTGATAACGGTCAAGAACCAAAGTCAGTTCTGCACTGAAGGGGGAAGCCATCAGCGTCTGACACCGTCTCACCTGTGCACCAGCTTCCAGCAGCAGTCTGACGCATTGGGTCTGTCCCTGTATGCACGCCTCGTGCAGGGGGGTGATGGAGTCGATTGCCACATGGTTAACGGCTGCACCTCCCTCGATCAGCTGCTGCAGCTGGAGGGCCCTGCCCTGTGCAGCGGCCTCATGCACTGCTGACCGGTCCGTCCAGAATCCAAGACCATGAGCTGCAAGTGTGTAAAGAGCACAATACGAGCATTACTGGGCCTTTCAAACGACAAACAACCATTCACACTCACACACCTACGGGCAATTTAGAGTCACCAATTGACCTGATCCCCAGAGCATGTCTTTGGACTGTGGGAGGAAGCCGGAGAACCCAGAGAGAACCCACGCAAGACGACACGGGGAGAACATGCAGACTCCACACAGGAAGGCCACCGGGCAGATGACAACATTCTAGTTCAAGTGTATTTAGTCATTCCAACCACGCACAAGCTAAAGAAAAAGAGCCACAATTACCCTTTTGTCCATCCATCCATCCATCCATTGTCAAACCGCTTATCCTGCACACAGGGTCGCGGGGGGGCTGGAGTCCATCCCAGCCAACTTCGGGCGATAGACAGGGTACACCCTGGATTGGTCGCCAGCCAATCGCAGGGCCACACAGAGACATACAATCATTCACACTCACATTCACACATCTATGGGCAATTTAAAGTCCTCAATTAACCTGATCCCCAGAGCATGTCTTTGGACTGTGGGAGGAAGCCGGAGAACCCAGAGAGAACCCACGCAAGACGACACGGGGAGAACATGCAGACTCCACACAGGAAGGCCACCGGGCAGATGACAACATTCTAGTTCAAGTGTATTTAGTCATTCCAACCACGCACAAGCTAAAGAAAAAGAGCCACAATTACCCTTTTGTCCAGTTCCTCGTAAATATGACAGCATTTGACACCTCGCCCACATGCTGTTCATGAGCATCTACATTTTACACCAGTGTATTGGATCGTATTACATTGTACGGCGTGGTGTATCGGATCCATTTATCTCCACAATCATACAGTCGATGAATATAACACCGCTATCTTAAAATATCACAGAGCAACGCGAACTGCAGCGAGCTTAAACAGAAACTTCAATGTGAAAACACTACACATACTAGCACACATTGACCCGGAAAACCATGTGACGGACACCTGGAGTCTAGCCACCATTAAAATGAAAGCATATGAGAACGATTGCAGCTACCGGCCGTGGACGTAACGAGCACCATCCGGTCTACAAAGGCTGTCCTGGGCCACCGTCGGTCACTATAAGCTCCTTACCGATTTCTCCAAACAAGGACGGTCTGGTCCGAGTCATCTCCATTTCATGTTACCGTTTTCTCTCTTCTGTTTACCGCGAAGCTTCAGCTGAACATGTTTATCACTTTGAAGCCAAAGAATAAGGACAAAAATAGCGGCATTATCGTAAGTTACGCCGGTCATCCGGGTGCTCAGGGAGAGCAGCAGCGGTTCGGCATGGCACGTAAACGATGACCGGGAACTCTGGGAAATGTAGGCGAGGGACTTTGGGCAAGTTTCCTTCATTCAAGTAAAATCATTGAACGGCATGGATATAAAAAATATTTGTAAATCCCCCCCCCCCCCCCCCCCCAAAAAAATAGAAAAACAAAGATCCTTTCCTCTTTTATATTTATTTATTCTGTTAAAATGGCTAACTAGCTAACATTAGTCAACCTACAGTACACTCGCTAATCCACAATGTGCTGTGCGGCTTTCGATTTATTCTTCTAACATTTGCATTTCAACAGGAGAATCTACTTTCATTTTATGTTCAGTATCAATTGAAAATGTTAAAACAAATAAGACCGCTGCAAATAAAAGCTAGTGGCTAAATTAGGCTAACTTTGCATTTATTTGCGAGGGATCTCAAAATCAGGAATCAGGAAACATTTATTGGCAAAATATGTCATATATACAAGGAATTTGACTTGGCGGTTTGTGCGTGACAGTAGACAGTGTGACAATAGACAACAAGACAGCCATTTTAGGGTACAATATGTCATTGTAAAGGAATTTAAAACGTGCGGCAAGGTAACTCAAAAGGATTGCAAATACGATTGAATACAAAATCTTTGAGCGAGGGACTGCCTCATAACGTTAACTGTTTTTACCCAACACCTGTGTAAAATCATTGAACAGGACCTTTATTAAATGCTTGCAAGCATGGATCAACTTTGTCCTCTGCATTTTCCAGAGCCAGCTGCTTTGAGCTTCACAAGGCTCCTCAGAAACCTGTTTGACACCACACAGACTGACTCACTCAGTCTATGGTTTCTGAAGTGAGAGCCACAAGACTGTCAATCATACACTAAATTGATGAAAAACCATGTGTGAGTTGCGTAAAGTTGCTAAGAGATTGATAAGAGGGAATAGAGGGATCGTTGTATTTTTCCGCAGCTTGGCGATAGTAAACCATTTCACGTGACACAAAGATTTGAGGACAACATTTAGCTAATTAAATTAGGGTACACCGAAACCGGGATCCAGAAGTGAATGGCACATTCAGGTAGTCCTGGCAGAGCATGACAAACATCTATGTAAGGGATTAAACAACTATAGGATTATTATCTTTTTAATCCTGTGGAAAAGTGGAAGATTTTTTGGGGGATTGAGGAAACCTGGGACATTTTGGTGCTTATAGAGATTTGCCCGGACTCAAGAGACAGCTTCAACAAGGACAAGCTGGGACATGAGTGACAGTGACTTCATAAACATGTAGTGAACAGTTTAATGGCAAACAGAGGCAGAATGGTCCTCAATCCAAATTCTTTCAAATGGTTTCTCTCCACAAATACTCTTGATACACACAAATTAAACAAAAAGTTTGGTACTGCCAGAATGTGATTGTTAGCAAATGTGTGTTAGCAGTGATCCCAATTCTCCCCCTCAATCTCTAAATAAACAATGTACTCTAATGGGACATTTCTACTTAGTACATACTTCAATGTATCGTACTGTTTGTTTAATGCAAATTTGGATAACTTACATGTAATTTATATTCTTATAAAATAGAACTGTTTTATACGTTGTGTTACAGACTATCACATCCTTGCATTGTGGTCGATGAAGCGGACTGCCTGTACACAAGCCTTCTTCTTCTTAGTGTTGAATAACACGTACTTATTACATGCTCACATGCACTATGCCTTAAGAATGTTCCAGTGCACAGCCCCCCCCACCCCCCCTTCATCACCCTCTTCAAAACTCTAAGAATTCCGTAGTGCACACTTCTGTAATTCGGTACAACTGCGTCTACTTGCAAGAATACACTATAACATGTTAACGAGAAGTTCTGTTGGACAATATTGTACCCAATACTTCAGTTCACAAAGACTCGACCGCGAGAAACACGATCGTTTTCTCACCGAAGTACACACGGCGCATTTAGGGTACAATACAAACATACGTAAAACGTAGAACCGCGGGTTGTTCATTTCTAACGTCGGTTCGTTTAATCGCTAGAAATATCTCTTTAGTCACTGCGACGAGGACCACGCGCTCACGCGCGCACACGCAGACGAGAGAGGAGCACCATTGGCGCAGAGCAGCTCCACCAACAGTTTCGTGTAGACTTTCAAGATGGAGGTTTCTCCCCGATAGGTTTCTGTTTCTATTTTGAACCGGGCTAGGCACGCGAGGATCCCACCGGCATGAGGACCGATGATCGTTCGTGATTCATTTTCCGATATGAGTGGATTTAAAATGGATGGTTTTCTTCCTCGGTGTTCGGGCTAGTGCTTTATTCTTTCGTAACTTCCTGGTTGTCGCATAATATGTCAGTCGAAACTGCGACGAAAGCTGAAGTTACTCCGAAACGTTCTCCCGACACGCGATAGACGGGACTTTAAATTTCGCTCGGAACATTTTAGAAACCGAGCCAACCGCTTTCAAGCGAAGGGAGAAGAAGGCCGAACGACAGATGTCCTAAGTATTCAGCGATGGAAAGTGGGAATGGTGGTGCCCCGAGTAAAGGTGACGAGCTTCTTCTTCTCAATCCTCCACCTCCCCGTCTAACCTAACTTTCACTTTACGGTTAAGAAGAAATGTGGATCGGATGTGTACTTTCGCTTAGCCGTTGGGTGGGATATTCCCCCAACTGCGGTGTAACCGTGGTTAGATTCGAACACGTCTGCGTGGAAAACGTGTCGTGTCTCCCAGTGCGAAAAGTCACGCGCTTGTGAAACTTTTTCTCTAAAAAAAAAATATATATTTTAATGTCGCAGTACAGCGAACATGATGTTAAACCATAGTAATTTCTTTTTCCACTTCTAGGTGTTTTAATACCTGCCTCAGAACGAACGGGCATCTTTCAAAGCAGTATTTTGACCACACTGAAAAGTGCGTACTTGTATGAGGAGTCGAAACAGTCCTTCAGGTACACGTCTGCTGTCCTGGTAGAAAATCCAACACTGGAAGAAAAGGTCAGTCTAAATCTGATTTCGTGTCCAGCAATATTTAGACGTCATTAAATATTAAGCCACATGTAAAGGTTCAGATTTAATATGTTCACCTAAATGTCTTTTTATTCTCATTTGATTCATGTCTCTTCGTTTGTACATTATGTCCTTTGTTAGAAAACATGGGTAATGAATACTGAACCCAGGGAATGCTCTTTTATGCCACAAGAGGAACCTCAAGCACGTAGCGTTTTTAGTGTTACAACTGATTTTTTCTTCTTCTTCTTCTTCTTCTTCTTCTTCTTCTTCTTCTTCTTCTTATCAGTATAATGCTTTCCGAAAAAAGAGAAAAGAAGTAGGTTATTCAGAGGAGGAGCTGAAGGAATCTTATGGTTTTTTGCTGTTCGACGATATCCACAAGGTAAAAACACTGAAATGCTGGCACGCCTAAAAAAAAAAATCCTGCCCAGACAAATCCCTGTGATTATGCTCACATCACTATTTGCCTTTGTGTAAAGGCTAATGCACTAGGACAAACTGGTGTGCTCACTGGAAACAGCACCTGTACAACTCTGGGAGATCCCTCCAAAGGTAAAGATTACGTTACTCCTCACACTCCCTCAAACAAAATGTCAACCAGTAGAAGAGGTCACAGCAACGTTTTAGTGCAGAGCGCTCAGCCATTAACAACCCAGAGGTCATACCACAATGCAGAAAGCACCACGTGTTGTATAAAAAAACATGGAAAACCTTACTAGAAGTGTTTTATCCCCAGTTATTACCTTGAAAGTCTTATCCAGGACTTTGTTTTCGCATGCAGTCCAAAGTCGCTGAAATGAAGGTCAGACTGAGGAAAACTCCATGTTGAGAGTCGGGTTCACTTCTGCCGTTTGAAAGTGAAAGCAAGTCAAATTGCTCTATGACTGTATACAAATGAAAGTGGAAGAAGTTGTGCTGTGAAACAGAAACTAAATGTCTGTGCACATTTTGTCGCAGACAGAAAGACAAATTCTGCATGTATTTGTTGTTTAGATCTCCTTGAACTACAACAGAAATTCCTAATGATGTTTGATTTGACATCATAGGAATGGTTTTATTTTTTTTAAATATTTCCTCCTTAAAGTGTTTCATAAACTGTTAAAATAACATACAATTACATTAAAACAAATGCAATTGCAAAGAAGTTGTAAAGAAAGGGCACTATATCAAACGGGGGGAGGAGGAGATCAGATTCTAACTGACTTCCTCAAATATCTCCAGAAAGTTGACTCATTCAGCTGTAACTTTATGACTGCATTTCCTAATGTCCAAAAGAGACGTTGTGAAGGGTTGAGCTGTAATCCTTTATTCTATTATGTCGTAACTTTCATTGCCAGCATACTGGAGGGGAGTATAAAAGCTGATGTTTGGCTCTTGGTTGAATGCGGCCTATTGTCAGGTTTCATATCTTTGGTCATTCATGTGTCCAAATGAAATCTTCACGACAAAGACTCGTTCGAGACAGTTAAAGTAACAATTCAACGTGCTATTTGGTGAGCATTTCTGGAAAATAGAATAAAGAGCTGTGCAGTTAAGGTGTGGTGTGTCCCTGACCGCTGTGACTCATTTGTGTTTCGGGGTGTGGTCTTGCTGCTGTAGAGTCAGTTGTATGAAAAGGCTCTCTGAAGTTATGAGTAGTGTTTTTTTTAAAACAGCGGTCCTAACAAAAAAAATCTATATCATGACTATTTCTAAAAAAGTGACAGTTTTCTGTGTTTACTCAGGTGTTTACATATCAATGTACTCCGACTGTCTGGATCTTAATTGCTGGTATCACGAGAAGTCTGGATACATTGCCATCATCAGGCTGACAAAGGTATTAACAAAAATGTAAAACTGTAAAACATTTTTCGCAGGTCTATGGTCAGTGTTTTCACTCAAACAAAACACTTCATGAACAACATTGTCCTTTTGTTGTTACCTACAGGGTAGAGTTAAAAAGGTTTTAGAGAACTACACCCAGAACTACAATGCACCCACCGTGGGGTTTGACTGTCATGTGTCCGAACAGCTGCCCTCAGTATCTTCCGAAACCAGCTCTTTTCTTGCCTTTGAGAGGACTCAGGTAGGAAGAGGCTAGTAGTGGATGGGAAAAACATGCTGTGATAATACTTTGTCTTTCTTCTCTGTCTGTATGTAGACATATCTTTTATGAGGACAATATAGTTGAGTAACTAAATATGGGCATAGTTACTAGGCAGCTCAAGTGAATTCTTTTTTGTGTTCGCAGTATTACGTGTATGAGCTACTTGATGATGCACACATTGTGACGGCTCAATCTCCCAGTGCTGCCTTTCCCATTGCCATTGTGTCATTTTTATACACGGATACAAAAGCAACACTTGAAGCCCCACTGAAGAAATGGTACTCACTTCAGCAATTCCATTTCATTCCAATTGAAAATGGTAAAGCCTCATTGATTAATTGTTTCCCGATTTCTCTTTTCAGCGAGGAGAAAAAACTTGGTGAGTAACATGTATTAATGGCAAACCCTAGTTTTTCTCCCTACGTATTGCTCTCAAAATATATACAACAGGACTACAAGGAGGCATAATAAACCGCTGATATACAGCTTATTACTGTCAAATTAATGTCATTTAAAAAAAATGCGAAGCTGTATTCGTATAAAATATTCGTCCTTACTGACCAAGGCCCAGTTTTAATTTTCTTGTTTTAATAATTATTTAACCTAGTTTTTTTTTCTCCTTCAGTTTATCAATACTTTCCATGGAGGGGTCAACTTCAAATAAGCACACAGGTGTATGATGTAGGGCTGCGATCTACAGCAGGGGCATTGATCCCTGCACTACTGTAAGTTAAGATGTGCACATAGAAAATGCACACATTTTAATTATTTTATTTCTCATAATAATTCAATTATGTAACCAATTGTCTACGCATCGTGTTGTTCTTTCTTTTAAGGTCCCCAGTGGTTAAAATCGACAGAGCCATTTCCATGTTCAATCTGCGTCAGCTGCTTCCAAGGGCTGTCTTTGAAACCTGCTTTTCTGGTGAAGGTGTGCTGTTCAAAAATATTTGTAAAAATCAGCCACATTAGAATAGAGTTGCATCTTCAGAAATGTCTCAACACAATTCTTTGATTTATTGAATGCTGTATTTGTCATTTGTCTTTTAGTCTGTCTGGATGGCTTATACTTCAGTCAGTGTGAGTTTGTTTCGACCGAGGTAGAAGAAAGCTACTCACTCTCTCTACTTCTGCGGGAGATCAAGGAGAAAGATCTTGTGAGTTTCATGTTCAGTCATTCTGCCAGAGATTGCAGGGCTTTCTCAGTCATTCCATAACAATTGAGTCACAAATATGCATCACAATTAATTTTGGCTTGAATTGCCAAAAACAAGACAAAGTAACATTTCTGCAACTGTTATGAGCAAATGATTGGTGTTTTTATCAAATATGAATTGATTTTTTTGTTGTAATTGTTCAATTTCCCTATAGATTATGGATATTTAACTTTGAGCACTGGAAATGTTCTGTGCCTTACACCAATTGATCTCCTTTTTAATATCATAATATATATACTTGGTTCCGCTACATTATGTTTTTGTTCAACTTTACCTGCTATTCAACATCATTACAGGCGCTCATCATTCAGCTGAATGATGGTGGATTTCTTATCCTGTTGCACTCCTCACATTTTGTCCAATATGATGGTAAGATATAAAAAGTGATGAGAGAGCACTATGCAGTTGTTCTCACCGTTGATTTCCATCATTCTTAATAACCATGATACCACTTCATATTGGCCAAATTCAATATCTTTTGGTTTCTCAGATATTGCATCGAGTGGGACGGATGTTCTGCAAGGCATGTTTGTGTTTCCAAATACACGAGGCATTCACACAGGTGATTACAGCATGTTTAATAGTGGATGTTCCAATTCATGTTATTTTCTGAATACCAGGCAAAGATGTCACAGCTACATTTTCTTTTTTTTTTACAGACGCTAACTTTCAAGAGAGAAAGCTTGCCACGTCATCGGAAATCCTGCAGGTTCTACCGGTGCTGAGTTATGCAGAGAGCAAAGTTGAGAAAACTCCTATTGACCCAAGTGAAGAACTTTGTGAAGTCTTTACGCAGCATATGCAGACCTATGCAGCACTGATAAATCCTGGGTTGGCATCAAGTCCCTCGCGGGAAATCAGCATCTTTCCTGATCAGTATGATGTGCCGGCTGCTCACAAGCACCTCTACTCATCTCCGGAGTGGACTAACAAGGAGTGGGAGAGCGTTGGGTCGTACCTACGTAAACCAGACTCATTTCAACTGCAGGTGTCCAAGGCTACAGAAATCCTGATGTCTGGACAAGAGCAGAGGATGGAAGACCTTGATGATGATGTTTATATCTACCTGTCCTCTCCTGAGGGGCCACAAACCCAACCTGATAGCATAGAGTCAGAAGACTGGCTGGAACAATCTCCTGCAAACGTTGAAACACCTGTGGACAGTTGTATAACAAGCTCCGAATCAAAGGTTAACTCCACAACTGTGCCTCAAAATGTTTTGCTAGATGATGTGAAAGCTGGAGATGACACTGGCATATCTGATCCGAGTGTGCCCATCGAAACGGATGACTTGAAGATTAAAAATCTCCTCACTCCATCTACATCAGACGACCTTCCCGCGGAGCTGATCGTCAGCCTCACGTCGGCAGAGAACGCCGTCACTGGAGAGGGTTTAACAATGATCAGTAATGTATCTGCTGCAAAGCATAATGACTTTCAGCTGTCTGTTTTTTCAACAGCCAAATTACAAACGGAAGGAGTGAACTCTCTGAATGAGGAGGGTATTGCAACCAAACAGGTTTTGGATTGCCCTCCGGTAACAAATCTCACAAAAACAAAACGGAGGAAACTACACAGAGGGCATTACAAAAGGCGGCAGAAGTTGTCTAAAGCTTGCTTTGAAACTCCCAGTTCGCAAATGCAAGCGGCGGATGACAACTGGAGTCCGAAGAAATACCGGGCAAAGAAATCATTGGGCCGTTCATCGCTCAGTCTTTCAAAAATTGATCAGAGGAAGGTACAAATGCGAAAGTGTAAATCAAGTCAACTATCATCAAAAAATGAAAGTTTGAGCTCTGCTTCCGCTGGATTAGCAGTTCCAGATGAGCAAAACCCCTGGACTGCCGAGCTGGAAAGAACCATTTTTATGGACTTTGAAGATTTTCCTCTGAGGAAGAAAACAGAGCGCTCAGACTTAAAGCCAGTCATCAGCGAATGTGGAAGAATTTTGGTTCCTCATGGCTCTGTAGATTTCGGTGAACAAATTAAGTCTTTAACGGTCAAACTTCAATCTAGAAAAGATGAACAGTGTCCTGAAAAAACCTCTGCGAACGCTCCTGACACTATGGTGCAAGAGTCCAGTGCTGCTCCAGAGACAGCAGTGGGTGAAGCCGAGGCAACATCGCAGGATGGAGGGAACCAGCTTCATGTCGTTCATGACAGGCCGCCAGATGATGGCAATGGTTCATTGATGTTGAATCCAGAGAGTGGTGAGCTTTATTTGAAGACTGATGTCACAGCAACTCCTCCTTCAGAAACCGTGAAAGGAATCCTCTCCCAAGGAAACCTTCCCAAAAACAGTGAATTTCTGTTCAGTAAATTAAAATCGGTTCTAGAGAGGAAGAGAAAAACTGATCTCCCTTCATCCGACGAAACAACAGCAGATACCGCTCCATGTCTCAAGAAGGTCAAGGTTGACTCGCACGCTGGGATCCTGAAGAGTAGTTATGCAAATTCATGTGTCCAGGACACCAGTTTGTGTGTCAAGGAAGTTTCAAAGATGTCGTCAGTGGACCCAATTTTTGCATTTGCATTAGGTCTGACCCCTAAATGGACTGTAGATAAGATACAGAAACCTGAGGGTCAAGAGACTCAACAAAAGGAGACCATTTCAGACAAACCACCTCAAATCCTGAACCGGCCATCACCAATCTTTCCACGAGGGGGAAGGATCAAAACGCTCAAAAGGCATCAAGGCATTTCTACAGAAAGTGTCAAAAAGAAATGTAAGTCATATTTATACAATTCTGCATGATTGTTTTGCATGATGTGTAACATCCCCTCAGTATAAAGCATGACATCAAAACGGACCCTTTTTTGTTTGATCTGCCACCTCTGCTTCTGGTCTTAGCATGCTATCGCTGTGTTGCTAAGTGTATGTCAGTTCTTCATTTGATTTTACTCTACTCTTGCTTGTCCTGTATTTTGCCTATCCTTTGCATCTGCACCCATGTGTGGCTATATTGGCCTTTTTATAAGAATCCCTTTGTTTGACGCAATGACATAGTTTACAGGCTGGTGATAGAGTCCTAATACATTGGTATATTTCAAATGCTTTCAATGTGCAACTTTTATTTTCATGCTCTTCTCTTCTCTCTCCTCTGTTTTGTCTTCACAGGGTGGTTACATTTTCAAACCCCAGCTTGTTATGCCAGTGAGAAACTCAAAGACAGTGGTAGGGCTAATTCTGTCAGGAAGACTGTTAAGGAAAACATTAACAGTGCTTGCTCATCTACAGACGCATTGAGCTTACTTGCTGACTTGGCACTCAGGGCCGGTAACGATCAGGTTCTACCACAACCAGACCCAGCACTTGAAAGAGAGACTGAGACAAGTTTGAAGAAGTGTGACCTTTCAAAAGATCTTACCTGTGCTGAGCAAGAGTCAGTTCTTCCTTCTCTGCTTACACAGCCTGCTGCTAAACCCATGCAGCCTCTTCAGTCTACTTCACCAAACCATCTTGTGGAAAGCAGTGAATGGGTTGGTTTGGTGTCTAAAGAACATGCTTACTCATCTCCCCCGTCTTCCTCTCTACTGTTGGGTTTACCAGGTACACCTTTCCAGGTATCCCCTTTAAGTGGTTCTTCCAGACTGCTGCGCCATCACCAGACAATGTATGGCAATGGAATTAAAATTCTACACCCCTCTGTCGTCCACGAACGCAGTAGTGAAGAAAACCAAACAATTCCAGGCTTTTTGAAAAAAAACATTGTGCGGAGAAGAAAGTTTAGACACTCCCGCACCTTTGAAAACAAGGATGGATCTATTCAGGTCACGAAACAATGGGAGGAAACCTATGACTTTAATCTAGACAGCAAGTTTACAAATGACTCAAAGGATAGGACAATTGTCCGAGCATTACATGGGTATGTACATTCTATTATTTATACGTATTTTAAAACATAATGGTAAAAAATATAACTTTAGACTTCATATGATTTCATTCCTATACATGTTTCTTATTTTGATTTAAGTTGGGAAAAGTTTACTTAAAGTTAACGTTGTAATGAATGTAACTGAAAAAGCTCATTTTTGTGCCTTTGACATTTTCCATAGCCCATGGGATTTCTCCTTGCAAGACACCAGTGAAGAAGTGCTGCTCATTGTCCACATGTGGATAGGTCTGTTCTACAGCCGGTCAACCGCAAGGTTCTTCCATGTGGGCTCTTGCCAACATTCAGAAGAGAGGGATCCTCTGGAGATGTCCAGGCAGACGGGATCAGTCAGCTTATTGGCTCCTTTCTCGAGTATTCCAGACACTGACTCAATGTTGGACCCAGGATCAGCGATTTTGGACTTGTCACCGAGAAACTCCAATGCAGAGAAAGTTAGTCCAGATCCGCAAGCCAACAGAAAAGAGACTGTGCCCATTGATCCAAAAGAAGCAAATGAGACGTTAAATGCACTCGAGTTACCTGTGGGACCACAGGAATCCATCACAAAACAGGTTGGTTTCTAATGTTAATGCGGCATCAAAGACAACCTATTATGCATTTATTTTCATCCTTACTTTTGGATGGCAATACGAATATAAAACAATTAAATGATTGTATTTGATCGCTTGCCATGGAGCAGTACACTTCATTGACATAATTAAGGGTAGTTACTGGGGTCAGATGTATTGGAAAGTCCACTGTTGCTTTTGTTGGTGCCATGGCATCTGAATGTCACAAGCTCCCTCTGTAAATCCCCTCAGACTTTTTGGCCATAGCTGATAGTTTTACATGCTATGGGGAGTATTAACAAGGCTCTCTCAGATCTCATGTCCCCTGTGATGCTGAAAATCTGCGGGCATGACAGACATGCACCACTTGGTTTATTCTGTTAATCTACCAGGTTATGCTGTACCCCCATCTGATATGAACGCTATTTGGCACATAAATTCACAACACAGCATACACAGCATCAGCATACAACCAGGATTTGTGAGTATCCTCACATCTACTCCAGATAAGGAGAGACAAACTTCTATCTGGAGCGGAGAAATGTGCCCAACTATGTATAGTTGGGAACTTTCTGCCTCCTGTAGAATTCAAAACTCCTTGTGGGTGGAGGCCCCTTTTTGGGGCCAGGCCCAACTAATAGGTACTTACCTCAAGGCTTGACTTATTGACGGAACCCCATCTTCCAGATAAGGTGGCGATGTCCTGTTTTTGACTTCTCATAAGGATGTTCAAATCACAACTTTTCTGGTCTATAGACAATTACATTTTATTTTCCTTTTTTAACCTTCCCTATATGGCAGTCTAATGCACGTCAATCTTCTTAAGCCCCCAATGGTTTGCACTGTACAAAAAAGAACATGGACATTTGTGGACTAATTTCCAAGAGTCCTGTGCCGCAATCTAGTGATGGACACATTTATCAGATGGACATGCTATTCTGATTTACTGTGTGATTGCCACAGGGACTTCTAATTTACAGTATTTATTATTGAAACCTTTTAAAAATCATTGCAATAAACACCAATCACTGTCTTCACTCCGTGATTTAATTCTTATTGTTTTGTTTTTTTATTCTTCCAGCAATCCAAAAAGATGGTACTCTCCACCGAGATTAATGAGGTGAATGATGTCAGAAGTTCAAAAGAAAATACGAGGACTTGTACAGAGTTGCAAAACGCTTTGAGTCTGGAAAACGCCAATGTACAACCTTGGAAAGGTGATGGAACAATAGTTTCTGTAGGAGAAGAAATGGAAACTGTATACGTTGAGCCAGAAAATAACCAAAAGGCTTCAGGAGTTAGCGATGTGCTAAATGGATGCAACATTGAGCAGACTGATACGAAAGATGGAATAGAAAATTCAGAAGCGACAGAGACAAGTTTGGTCCAAACGCATGGAAGGGATTCATCCATATCTCTGACCGATGAGGAGGTAGACTCCAACATAGAGTTATGTGATGTGCTTCAGACAGTTGAGGATGATGACACTCAACCCAAAGATGGGGAAAACTGGGAATCAAAAGAAAATCTATACAAAGAAGACCATGTAGAAACTCCTAGAGTGATTTGTACAAATGACCATCCAACAGACAAGGAATTCGGTATTGTGTGTGTTGGAAATGTTTTGGACAAGAAGCATTTACCCACAGAGGAGCCAAAAGCATCTTCACCAGGAAAGCCTGTAAATGAAGGTTTTGATTGTTGTACAGTGCAGGAAAGTAAAGAGATGGAAGATGAAGATCAAATTGGAAAGGAAGGTGGACTTGATGAGAGAGACCGTTGCGTTCCACCCGTGGAGACCGACAATGATTTGAGTAATCAACCAGTACCTATGATATGTGATGGCGTAGACTCTCTACAGACAGACCGCATCACAGAGAGTAATCCCAAACCACCATTAGTTGAGCAACCGCCTCAAGCTGTCAACAAAGAAGATGCCTGTCATGATTTGCAGGTGAACAAGCTGTGTGCAAATGACTGTGGGTTGCCGGTTGAACGTGACCTTTCAGAAAAGTATCCTCTTACTTCATCGGAAATTGATCATTCTTCACTACTTGCATTTGAGAAAAGTTACGAAAATGAACAAATTACTCCATTCCCTATGTTTGATGATAACAAGGGCACAGATGTGTCTATTCCCCAGACACATGACGGTGTTGAAACGGGAAGCCACAACAACACAATGGGAAACTTCAATTGGAGAAGGCATGATCATGACGATCAGGATAGGAAATCAATTGAGGGAAGGAAGGAAGTTGATGACAAAACTGAAAAAGAAACATTTCCCCATTGGACTCATGTCCCTCTGTGTGAGACAAAAGTGAAACTGACTGACAAAAAAGACGTCAAACAGATCGGCAACATGAATGAGGCATTGGCAAAGATCCATAGTGAGATTGTGATTCCTTTTATTGGAATAGACACCTCTGGAGAGCACACCAGTGTAGCATCTTGGAAAGGTGATGGAACAATAGTTTCTGTAGGAGAAGAAATGGAAACGGTATACGTTGAGCCAGAAAATAACCAAACGGCTTCAGGAGTTAGCGATGTGCTAAATGGATGCAACATTGAGCAGACTGATACGAAAGATGGAATAGAAAATTCAGAAGAGACAGAGACAAGTTTGGTCCAAACGCATGGAAGGGATTCATCCATATCTCTGACCGATGAGGAGGTAGACTCCAACATAGAGTTATGTGATGTGCTTCAGACAGTTGAGGACGATGACACTCAACCCAAAGATGGGGAAATCTGGGAATCAAAAGAAAATCTATACAAAGAAGACCATGTAGAACCTTCTTCTAGAGTGATTTGTACAAATGACCATCCAACAGACATGGAATTCGGTATTGTGTGTGTTGGAAATGTTTTGGACAAGAAGCATTTACCCACAGAGGAGCCAAAAGCATCTTCACCAGGAAAGCCTGTAAATGAAGAGATGGAAGATGAAGATCAAATTGGAAAGGAAGATGGACTTGATGACAAAACTGAAAAAGAACCATTTCCCCATTGGACTAATGTCCCTCTGTGTGAGACTAAAGTGCAACTGACTGACGAAAAAGATTTCAAACAGATCGGCAACACAGATGAGGCATTGGCAAAGAGCCATAGTAAGATTGTGATTCCTTTTATTGGAATAGACACCTCTGGAGAGGATTCAGTGCAATTCCATGATCCACACTCTCAAGGCAAGGTTGAAGTTGTTCAAGCCAAGGAAGAAATACCATTCATCAGTGAAACTGTCCTAAACTCAGGAGTATGCGGTACACCCCAAAAGGACATTCGGAAGGCACAATTGTCTGTTGGAAAATTATCACTGTCACTTAATGATGTAAGTAATACAAACCATCTGGGAAGTGGGTCAATCAGCCGGTGCTCCACCCCTACTATGGATGAGAAACCATTTGAGTACTTAACTAGATCTGGCCCTAGTAATACTAGTGCTGCCTTTAGTGGTAGTAAAACCAAAAGCATGACTCAAAAACCTTTTAGCGGAGGCGCAACAGCCGCAAAGAATGAGATGCCTCCCAGGTGTACAGTCAACTGTTTTGCCAGCCCTCACCATAATATTCCTCCTGATATTGAACTAAGAACTATAAAAGTTCTACAAAGTCTAGACAAGCTCCTCCAAAAATCAAGTGAAACATCCAGCCGGATTGAAAAAGCTGATAAACGCACTCTACATGAAGCCGCTAACCCCAGGAGCAAGAATATCACCACTTGTTTTGCCCCGAGCCATACCTCATATGACTTTAAGGATGAGAAAATTGGCAATACAGTACCAGCTGTGGTGTCAGCCTCTAGCTCACGAGAACTGAACACAGAGTCAACAGGTCACTTTCCTATTTCCCCTCTCTTTAAATTAGAGGAATTACTTGGTGCAAAGTTGCAGCTACAGCAAATTGCCGCATCCGTTCCTCATTCCTGTTCTGAAAGTGATAAGATGCATGAAACCACACAAGAGCAAGTTTCTTGTCAACCCTACAGATCTGTTCCCTCTCCTGAGAGTTTGCCAGCTAGTATTGTTAACCAGGAAACACATAAAACAACATCACAGACCAATTCAAGTAATGAACCACGTTTATGCAGTCAGCGTCCTGTCATGGCAGTGAAACCATCGAAGAGTGATGAAAGTCAAGGGGACAACATCTCTAAAGGCCGACAAATTGAAAAGGCTGTAGTGTCATATTTCTCCAAAGATCTACAAAATACAAACCCCAAAGTCACATACACCGTACCCACTACTTCGCTCTTGGTGAAAAGCGCAGAAAGAGTCAAGCAAACCTCCGAAGGAGTAAATGATGTCAAGCCAGACGCCTGTGAGCTTTCTTCAAAGAGCAGTTGGTTAACAAATTTTAGTGTTTCCTCACCTCTCCCTGTGTGGTGTTTCACATCAGCAAAAGGTTCCTCTAATCTTGATGATGCGTCAGTCAAGGAAGTTGGGCAATTAACTGAAACCAGCATTCAGATTAAACGGAAAGACCATTCTTTTGCATCAACTTCACATGCAGATAAGAATCCTTTACTGGGACCTCAAAGCTCACTCATTTGTACTGTCAATAACCCTACACGGAATCAATCTTCTAATTTACTGGAGCAGGTTTCTCAGAGGTGTGTACAAAATGACCCCACTGAGGCATCAATGGAGCAGGAGTGCCTTATCTTCTCCGAAACAATGAAACAGCTTATGAAAAGGAGTAAGAGGGGACCCGTCAGCCAACGGGACATGCATGACAAACGGAATTTCACTTGCGCCAGTCCTTTGACGGTGCACTTTAACTGTTTAGATGTGCAGGGTGATTCCGAGGATAACCTCAACACACTTTTGAACACAACCCCCCTTGTTGGACAGAAAATCAAGGTTGAGATGCCTGAAAGGAAAAACCTGGCACATTTCAAAGAGGAACAAAATACTTTGCAGGTATATAACATTTCTCAAGGAGCAGGGAACCTAATGGAACATCCTGGAATTGCTGGTGTGACTTCAGAGTGTTCCAGGCTGTACAAGGCAATGATGAATGATGTGTGTGCTGTCCGAAAGGTCCCCTCTAGACCTAAGCACTTCACAATGGATAGAGGTTACCCAACGACTGAACCAGGCAACCATTTTGACTTCTGCGATCAAATGAAGAAAGAGCTGGATGAAAGTTTTCGCAGTAATCTGAATTCAGTTGTGAAGAAATCCTGTAAAACAAAGTACAGATTCTACATATTAGTAACGTCAGATGTTGCCTTCTTTCAAGAAACCAAGGTAAGACAAGTTTTTAACACACTTCCAAAATAGTCTTTCTTTTGATCACGTTTCTTCAGGGATATGCCATTTGCCATTTGAAATTCCGAACTAACCAGTTCTATGCCACATAAAATGTTTCTTTCCTTATTTTCAAAAAGGCACAGTTGGAGGCAGAAGGCCACACTGCTGTACAACCATCCCAGTTCTTCCTTTGTGAAGATGGTTCTTCATCACTACTCATCATCATCAGAAATGAAGACATTGCAGAGCACATTTTAGAGGTAATTGATCAGCTGGTGAAAAAGATTATGACAGGAACCAAAATCTGGCTCCTTTCCCTCCTCCTACTGGCAATTGGAAAATTCCTCCCTGCTCAAAGGAAAACAACCAGCTGTCATGGCAGTTAGCAGCTGTGATTTCCAGTCAGATAAACCAGGCAGCGCTGATGAAATAGGAATCGAGATTGTTGCTGCATGGCCCTTGTCCTGCCTCAAATCAGAAAATCCAAACCGCAGACCGAAGAATATTTAATTCAGTAACATAAGTGTGATTTTTGCACTGAAAATGTGTACTTCTATCAGGACATAATAATAATTTTATAAAATATTTAATTTTATAAAAGTTGCCAATTGACTGCTTTCTGCTATCTCAGGTTCCACATTTGCTCAGGCTGAAGACGTCACCAGGTGTTCAGTTTGCTGGAATTGACGAACCAGACGATGTTGTGAATCTCACCCATCAGGAGCTTTTCAAGCGGGGGGGCTTTGTAATGTTCGACAGCGCAGCACTGGAGCTCCTAAGCCTTTGTATGTGCATTTTCACTGAATAACCGACTTTTTTTGTTGGTCTTGTGATTAAAGCGGCCTGTTGAACTCAATTTTTGTATGAATTTTAAGGCAACATGAAGAAAATGTCAGAACTCTTGCAAGAGCTGAGCAGAACGGGGAAGTGGAAATGGATGATGCACTACAGAGACAGCCGTCGGCTGAAAGAAAATGCGAGGTAGGGATTCCCTTTGGAAAAGTCATTACAAATAAATCTTGTACAAACAGTGTTTGAATTCACTTCTCTTTCACAGATTGTCCTTCTATTTTCTCTTTCACCATGAGTTTTTGCCATCATTTTATGAAAAAGACTGATGCTGGTTTAGCAGCTGATTTTAAAGCTGTTCTGTTCAAATGTTGCCTGTCTACATTTTCCCTCCATTTAATTCCAGGATAAGTAAAGAAGCAAAAGAGAAGAAGCTCTTCCTCAATGTTTGCCAGGAGGGTGGAATACTGGAGGTCTTGCCTTATCACGAGTGTGACCTCATGTCAAGAGATCTGCCCGACTACCGCACATGTTTGGTCCGTTTGCAGGTCCAGAATATATCGGCCCGTTACCCTGTGTTTATAACCGGTGAGACACTAATGCACTAAAATATTTACTGTGCCGTAACACTTATTTACTGAGTTCTGTGATATTGTGGTTATATTTTGAAGTCGTTGTTTGCGAGATTTCAAAAACATCTGACACGTAATAAAGAGTAATGGCTTTTAGTACTTCAGAGCCTCAAAACAAACTTGTTAGTTGGACGCGAGTCTCCATTCAGTTATTCTTTAAAGTTTAAACCAATGCAGATAAACTGCACGGATAGAAAGGGAGAATACGGCGTAAGATGCATGGCCAATGGCATTCTTCCAGTGAGTCATTGTAATAATTGGACATTAAAAATATCCCCAAATTTCACACAACCGTTGACCCATTATGTCTGGATTAACATGTAAATGTTTCTTATTGTGCAGTCGTACGTTCAATAATAAGCCTGAATGGCTAAATCTACCATATTGACATGATGGACTCATTTTCTTGTCAATTAATGTGCGTTGAATCCTTTATAATACAATAAGCATAGTGAACATGAGGATTGACATGTCTTTTCTTGTTTGTTTTTTACAGATAAAGCAACAGAAAGCGCTTTTGGCGAGAATGGAATTTTGACAATGACCTTCCAATCTTTCCTGGCGTATTCTCAGAGCAAAACATTTGCAGGCTGACCTGGAAAAAGTCAGAATACTCAAGCTGTGCAAGAAAAACTCACCTCATGTGAGGGAAACATCTGTAGCCTACCAGCTTATTGGGATTTCAAACGTACTACATTGTATGGAACAATAATTATAATTTAACATGTTCTTTTGTTTCATTTGTCCAAGTTATCATTCAGTTAATGGATAGAGTGACAAAAATGCCAATAGATGGGCAACTGTACTGTATATACTATAGATACATTTTGTTATACATTGTTATTGTAATTCTTTTTTTTACAGTTTTGACATCTGCAGCACAATTGTTGTGGGTGTTTATTGTAGGTTGACAACAAAGGTTAATTACTCTTTTTTTCAAATGTATATTTTATATATTTATAATACTGTCAAATTTGCGGACAGTGAGCCTTAACTACAGAGCGTGTTAATGTTAAATTGTTATGCTCCTTATTATTAATAATAAATCAATATTTTGTATATTATGATGCTCTACAGAGTAATTTGACTAAGAATAAAGATGTTTCTTCAACTATTTGGTTTGTAATGGGGAAAAAGTCTTCGGCAGAGGTGTCTAGGCAAAACAACGTCATACAGAAGTTACTGTCACGCACCAACCGCCAAGACAAATTCCTTGTATGTCTGACATATTTTGGCAATGTTTCCTGATTCCTGAAACCTTAAAGGCCATGATGCATGATTCGCAGATATGAGCACAAGGATAATATAACTAACGGTGCAATCAGTTGTGCTCAGATCTCTGCAGGGTGTTTCTGCGACTACCATTGCTGTAATGTTTAATCCCCAGTCCAGGCCGTAAGTGTATCTGACACTTTTTTTTTTTTAAATGTGCATACCGGGCAAAAAATAAGCTTTTAATGATTCATGGTACCTGCAGAGATCTACACCATCTCTTCAAATATACTGATTTGTGGTCAGTTAATCCCAATTGGAAATGTGAGATGCAGGTGTGGTTCTTTTGGTATTAACAGCGCACACCTATCTGAAGATGAAGTAATAAGGAGTCAACAATCATTCAGTTGCAGTATCAAACAAGCTTGAGGAAGTATGAGTCACTGCAAACCCCAAGAGTTCCTTGCACATGCGGCCATCAATGGGGGCACCCAAAATAATTTAGCAGTTAATGCTACATTAAATGTGGACAGACAGATATGCAGTCACTCACATGTGACCTCATAAGAATGTAATGGCCAAGCAACAGTACAAAATGTGTACTTTAGGTTGAGGAGATAAATGCTGAGTAGGAGCAGATCTGCGAGTATGTAAAGTTGAGTACTGTCAGTTATGAAAAAAACAAATCAAAGTAGAGGTCTTGAATTAATATAAATTTGGAGGAATGTTTTAGAGGGAAATTACCATTCCGGGTTAAAACTATTTTTTACACACACTTAGCTGTTACTTCAGCCCAACTTCTAAAAGGGACCTTGAAACAATAGGATTTTGTCCCTGACGCGAAAATTGGTTGGATTTGAATCCAGAACCAACCACTGAATGCAGGTTAACTACAATAAGTTATCTCCAATCATTCAGGATCGCTTAATACAATTGTTACAAGGGGCATTGAACACCTCGTGCCGTTTTTATTCAATGACTTGACAAAAAAATTAATTTGTTTAATTTAGCGACATACCGCCTCACCCTGCACAACGTACTCAATGCGATTGTAACTCATTAGCGTCTTTCTGATTTAATGAAGTTAGTCAGCCTGAATCAGCGATCATTCCGGCATTTTCTCCAACTTAAGCGGAGTGACGAAGAGGATGTGAAGCAGACACTAGAAATTCAAACTTTTCCCGAACCAATCGCCATTAACTCGAATCCCTCTTAGACGCGACTACAAATAGCATGTAACAGGCCCAACGGACTTACTCCCGTAGTCTGTGTCACATATTAATAATTCGAAAGAACGCCAACACTTCCTCAAACGGAGTTGCTGCGCATCTTCAGCGCTCGACGAAGCCCTCGAACACAGCGGCGCTTTGTCGGCACTCGCTGATTTGTGCGCATGTGCAGTCTAGATTTCGGGGATGGGTCTATCGATGGAATCAAGATGGCGACTCTGGCGAAAGCGCCAATATATTTACTGAAGTAGATGTCCAAAATTAACCGCGGTAGCGTGTATTCTCAAGCCCCCGAGGGGTCCCGTGGAACATGAAGGCAGGGATCATGTTTTGGGAGAGGAACTGACCGGGATTTATACCGTAACGAAATCAGCGAGATGTGCGAGAGCTATGCCCGCTCGCTGCTGCGTGTTTCGGTGGCGCAGATCTGCCAGGCTCTGGGCTGGGATGCGATTCAGCTCACTGCGTGCGATCAGCTGTCCGATGTGCTGCATCGGTATATCCAGCAGTTGGCCAGGGTCTGCCATCGGTACTCTGAGCTCTGTAAGTGCTTCGTTTAGGATCCCGATTACTTTTTTTCCAACCCGTAAACTTGAAGCAGTCGATCACGTTGTTGTTGACTGTCTGAAGCTGGCGCCCCCTAGCAAAGGTTGATGTGTCAAAAAGTACAGTAGCTACATGGCTAGGTAGCCCCCGCAAGGCTGATGTTATTGTGGCTGTGATTCACATGTTGTGGTCACAACATGTGGTTAGTCGATGTTGCATGCTTAATACTAGATACCTCTGCACTGTTATTGGAAAAACTATTTGCTTTATACAAATACCTGTTGAGCATCACTGATTCACGAGTAGAATCAGTTGGCTTACCTCCAGCAGTATACTTTAGTAAGTTCGAGGCTTGTATTGAGGTTTAAAAGGCTTGTTGTTGTGCTGTGTTTCAGATGGACGGACGGATCCAGTCCTGGACGATGTCAGCCAGGCCTTCAGACTCTTGGGGGTGAGTCTGAGTGAACTGGAGGACTACGTCCACAACCTGGAACCCGTGGCCTTCGCCCAACAAACGCCGCTCTTTCCTGTCAGCAAAAACAACGTCCTGCAGTTTCCCCAGCCTGGAGCCCGAGATGCAGAGGAAAGGAAGGATTACATTCCAGATCACATGCCACCCCTGGTCTCCCTGCAAGAAGGTCAGCACATATATGACTATATGGAAATCTCTGAGTGTGTGTATTTTGGGTTTTCCATTAGTGGGAAAAGTTCATTTTTTGTCATTAGTATTGGAAGCAATTTATCCAAAGTTCATGATGGTTATCGTTTTTGTTTTTCCCCAAATGTTACCATCTCCATTTAACACCAATGTCATATCTCAGCATGTTACAACACATTAACTCATCAAAACATTTAAGATGAATCTAAAAAATATCCACACATTGTCACGGTTATGCCTTGTATTGTATTGGCCCACCCAATAATAACCTGTATGTGTCAAATGAGGTGTTGTGATTGTACGAATGAATAGATATTTATTAAAATATCAGGTCGTCGTGGCGCAGGGCTAGACAGGGTGCGCTGGGGGCCGCAAGGTTGGAGGTTCGAGCCCCGGCTGCTCCATGTCCCATGGCGAAGTGTCCCTGATCAAGACAGCTCACCCCTAATTGCTCCCTGGGCAAAAATATAAAAAGCCATGGGTTAAAAAAAATGCAATGCAAGTCGCTTTGGATAAAAGCGTCAGCTAAATGACCAGTAATGTAATGTAAAAAAACAGTACTCAACTGGTGTTTATGTCCTTTTCCCCGCTAGAAGAGGAGGCGGAGGCGGCGGTCCTCGCTGACATGGGCACTTCGGCCGAAGCTATGCAGGTGGCTCTGGAGGACGATGAGGAGGAAGTGGACGAGGATGAGACTGTCAACGACGAGAACCACCCACTGAAGAGGCACTTGGACAGTCCTGATGCGGCTCTGGGCATGATGCCTACCTCCAAGAGACCACGCATGTACCCTGGCCTCAGCCCAGAATGGGGGGTTGAGCCCAGGGAGCCCCTCACCTCTCTCAACCCTCAACGTGTTCCGCCAGGCGTGCTGCCTACTCATGATAGCCTTGACCCCCTGTCACCCGAAACACCTTCTGGAGCCCTGCCCCCCTTCAGACCTCAGCCGGTGGTACCAAAACACTCTGATCAAAAGGGCCTTACCACTCCAGGAAGAAAGTCTAAGGTTTCGTCGCCTGGCAGACAACGGACTAAGTCCCCTAAGGGGGTCATCCCTGTTCCGGTGGGTGGCAGTCCCATCCATTCTCCAAAAGCGCCCAAGGAAAAGAAGAAATCTCCCGGCAGAGCAAAGAGCCCTAAAAGCCCAAAGAGCCCAAAGATGGTTTCAGCTAAAGCATCCCAACCCCAGAACAAGACGGATGGGATGCTTAAGCTGCCGCTGTGCGCGCTGAACGAGAGGATGGGCAAAGAGAACATCCACATGCGTCAAAATATAGAAGACAGGGAGTTGGCTGAGGGCCCCTTCAAGAAAATAGAGCCTGATAATGCAGCCATCGATGATTCCATTGATGCTGTGATTGCCAGAGCGTGTGCTGAGCGGGAGCCGGATCCGTTCGCTTTCTCCTCGGGTTCTGATTCGGACAGCAATGGGTTCTCCAGCCCCAAGAGGCTGACCATCATGGAGCCGCCGACGCCGAAACTCTCCATCGGGATCTCCGTGAAAGACACGGCAACACCACTGCACCTACAGGCACACGCAGGCCTAGGAAACTGGACTATGGATGATTCAATCAACGAGGTGATCCGGAAAGTCAACCAGAGGGGTCCTTCCGCACCCCCGGCAAACATAGCAGAGTACGTGTCCTCGGGATCGGCCTCGCCGCCCACCCCTGAACCTCTGCTCAAGATGTTTGAGGAGAAGAACAAGATTGTGCCTCCGGTGGATATCAAGAAAAAGCTGAAGAAGGAACTCAAAACTAAAATGAAGAAGAAGGAGAAAGACAAGCCGAAAGACAAAGACCGGGAAAAGGACAAGGGCAAGCTGAAAGAGAAGAACAGGGACAAGAACAGGGACAAAAACAAGGACTTTCCCAAGGATGCCAAGATGCCCTGGAAGGAGTTTGGAGTGAGGGACGACGAGCACTTCCTAATACGTGACTTCACTCTGCCCGAGGGCTCCATCAAGATAAAAACCCGAGATGGAGACGGCCCTAAGAAGGAGAAGGAGAAACACAAAGACAAAAAGAAAGATAAAGAAAAAAGCAAAAAGGACAAAGACAAGAGGGACAAAGGTAAAGACAGGAGCAAGGAAGACCGACTGAAGGCGTCCGCGTTGGGTGAAATGGCACCTCTGTTCAGCCCCTCCGCCTGCCTGCGCCTCCCCTCCATGCTCCCGTCTCTGGCCCCCATCCTCCAGGATAAGGATGTGAAGAACAAGGAGAAGGACAAGAAGAAAGACAAGAAGGAGAAGAAGAAAAAGAAAGACAAGGAGAAGGAGAAGGAGCGAGAAAAGGCCAAAGAAAAGGAGAGGGAGAAAGAAGAGAAGAGGAAAGAAAAGGAGAGAGAAAAGGAAAAACGGGAAAAGGAGAAGGAGAAAGAAAAAGAGAGAATTCGATTGGAGAAGGTATGTTTTTTTTGTTTGCTATGTCATTACGTAACCCCGTTACGAGTGTCACTCATGAATACCCC